ATAACGAAGGAATAAAATGCTTTTGTGACATTTGATCCATAGCGCTAGCCCTCAAACTTGACTGTTCTTGTTAGGTGCAGCTGTGTATAAACATGATATCGGCACGAATCAGCACAAATATATGTCGAACACACTGGCCTACATTTTTCAGCAGCCGTGTAACAATAGAGAGAAACATAATTCACATCACTTCGAGAAAAAGCAGTTGCCACTGAAAATATCGTTGTATCAATCAATAAATGCGTGTTTGACTTTCTCAATAATCTCTCGGCGTGCAGTACCGATCCTGACCGCAGGGAGAGCACTTTGCAGAACGACTGCAAAATGCCAGTATTGATCATGAAAGGTTCATGAAAGGAAAGTCGCAAGTTTCGCAAATATGCCGTGCACAGAAACCTCTATATCATTTTTCAGTAATAATCAAAATTTACTTAGAATACGACAATTTTACTCGAGAATACAAATTTCAAAGAAACGATAACGAGAAACGGATGGATTGAAAAGCTTTCTTTGCTTAAGTGATTGAAAGTTGTTAGAAAAGCCATTTGGAAGATATTAGTACCACTCCCAAAACATCCAAACCCGGCTCTGGAAACTAAGACATTTGTTTGAAACGGACGACTGCCGTGTGTTGTTTTCTGTGGCAAATGAGCCCTTGAAGAGTCTGATTTCAAGGCTATAGCTGATAAGCTCCAGCGTTCGTTTTGCTTGAGCCCGGCGCAGGGTGCAGGCGGGTGATAAGACCGTTGTGGGCGGCGCTCCTGCCCCGCGCTCCCGGGCGACTAGGGCACAATAACGCCGGGTAAGACCAGGGGGCAATTGGGGTCTCTCCGGGCTCCAACTCTCACTGAAAGAGGTCGCGTTTCATTATGCTACTTACGAGGGGGTCATTGCAAATGTTCTAATCTCTTCCGGACAGTAAATCATTTTTCGCTGCATCTAAACGCGTTGAAAAAATAAGTCATCTCAAGAAAGCAATTCGCGGCATCGGTAATAAGGCAAGAATAAACACAAGCTGATATTTGTATATTAGCGTTTCGCGATATTTGAGTTAATCAAATTACACTGGCTTGTCTAGACAGACACTATACTGTATTACGTACCTGTAATTTCATATATGTAGGATAATGTGTCTTTTACAAATGTATGTTTATGCTTAATATTATAATCAAAGTGCCTTAACGTACATGGAAAAAGTTGTGAAAACACATGACTAAGCTACATGTCTGTGAACAATAGATGTCAGTCGTGTTGATTTTGTGCTCTATCTTTGAAGAACATCTTCTATCGATAGCAAAGGACCAGGGTACTACAAGTCACCCCATACCCGTCTTATAGTCGGGCTATGATCTTCTTATTTTCATTGGTCGAAACAGCACAGAAATGGGCATTTTGTCTTTCGCCTGTCATGTGAAAAAAAAAACACACTCATGTTCACGTCCAACCTTTTGTGAAAAACATCCCGATTCTGTGCCCGTCCCTTATCGTCAACTTTCCATCGCGACTTCCGACTCGGTGGCCCGCTGATTGCCCATGCAGCAGCACGCGCCCTCTGGGGCCGCGCGCCAGCGAGTGGAAATTTGCGGAGATGGAAGAGACAGTCCGGGGTGGCAGCCGCAAAGTCAAAGGGTCGCCGGGAGCGCGTGAGGCTTGCCACTTGTAGGCTCCGCTCCGCTTGCTCCTGAGAAGAGTTGTGTTCTTTTCCCGCCACGAGAATAAGTCGTCTGACAGGTGAGTGACGTTCCCAGTCGCGGGGTCGCTGCCCGAGGTCTCGTTCCCAGGAGAAGCTGACAGCTTCCGTCTCCTGGATGCGCGGCGGACGAGCGTCACTCAGATCTACAGCTACACACACGGACGTCGGCGGCGGCAGAAGATCTCACTCTGATATCCAAGTGTCATCAGTCGACAGGTGATTAAGAGTTAATCATCTGCCGTCATCACTTTCGACAGATGACGGTTTATGCCAGATAATTCCAGAAGTGTTGAGAGAATTTCGCGGTTTAGACTAGAAGCACTTTTGTTGGGGGCCAAGTGGGTCGGCTGGGGTGGCGCTACTGATGATCTCGTCTGAAATTGGGAGTTGAGCGGTGAAGGCGAGCCGCGCGTGCCGGTGCCTGAGAATGGACGTTCGTTACCGGACGTTTGAGCGCATTCAGAACCACGGATACTTTATAGCACCTATATTGGAACTGTCCTCCGAGGGTTTTGGACAAGTCGACCAACAACGTTGATTGAAGGTAACGCAGGAAAAGGCACGTTCTCTGCACCAAGGATGGGTCCAAACACAAGGACGGTACTAACGGCAGGACTGGTCCTTCTGTCCGCCTGGCTGGAAGGTGAGTGGGACACATCTCTTCTTTTCCTATTGAATTCTGTCACGATACTTAGACTGATGGTTGGAAACAAAACACATAACCATGTTAGAACTGTGCCATTCCTGTTCCAATAGCATTCTAATATGGTATACCAAGAATGCATTGCTATCATCAAGGAAACGTTCTCGTGCGATTGGTTCTCTCACTTAGTAAGAGACAGTTGGATGTATTGCCAGTGTAGTTACGGTCAGCCTCTTTATCTGATTTCTTTCATCTTGACGTATTGTACACTTAACAAGCAAAATTCTTGCTTCCGAGTACGTAATGAGTGCTCTAAAGTATACGTCCTAAAACAGGTTGTTACATTCAAGCTTCTGAAGGCGATGGGAGGAAAACCTAAGCTAAAAAATCCTACACCTACGCATGTACACACACTGTGTGTGGAAACAAATGTGCCTAAAGGGACTGCCATGGAACAGCCGTCTCATTACCGTTCTCGTTACCTCTGCTACCCGCGGAAGACCAAGACAATTTTGGCGGTGACATTTGGTGAGACGCAGCCTCCCTGCGGTGTGCCATGATTATGTTTCTCACATGCCCGAAACGAGCACCATTGACATTTCAGACTGCATGCATCTACAGAAATTACCGTCATCTCTATTATAATAACTCTAAAAATACATTTTAGACATTCTGAATATAACAAAAACAGTCTTTGTCTACAGCTTTTCTAAGTGTGCCTGTGATTGTGACTAAGTTCGGTGTAATCAAATTTTGTCTGATCTTTTTCCAATGACCCTTTCGCCTAATGGCTTAGCGTAAACCCTTTAACGAACATAAAGTCTTTGAACTTGTTCGGTCTAAGTTTTCATCCACTGACACTTATTGGTGATAAATAGAGCTGTAGGTAAAGATAACAAGATTACCCCTGCCCTAAGCTCGAGATAAGATTTAAGTTCTTGTAATGAGCAGTGTTATGCATGAGTAGAGTTGATTAACGCCTCGACACCTCCAATACCACCCTGACCCACACCGCCCCTAGTCAATAACGCTATCGCCCAGCATCGGGACAGTTCAGTATTGGTATAGAATGGGTCGACCGAAGTTAGAGAGACACTTTGGATATGGTATACATTGAGCAACTCTTGAATAGCTGTTTCTGGATCGTATAGCGAGAGAGAATACCTACGTGCTACAAATATGAAACCATTGATTGTAAAATCCCGTTTGCAACCAATACTACATGCTATTTTTTAAGGTAGATTAGCCTCATAGTATGCTTGTTGTCATGTACTAGTAGGTAGATCGGTATCATAGTATGTTTGTTGTCATGTACGTAGCAGATCAGTATAGATCAGTATGTTTGTTGTTACAGAGCAGTAGATGGCAAAAGTTGCACCTTGTACAATTGCTGTGCAATGATACGTTGTATACTAAGACGAGGAAATACAAAAGTGATGACGGATTGAGTTGCATCATTAGAAGCGCCCGAATGTTTCCAGCACCGGTGTCATGTGGCCATTCCTTTTGCACGCTCTCCGGGCGTTTTTTTCTCCTCCCAGCAGACTTGTCGGCGCTGTCCTCGGCTCACTCCCCTGTAGGGTACCGTATATCAGACAAGTGTTGTACATCATCAGTCGTAACTCCGCTGCGTAAAGTTGGATTTATAACCGCTTTCTTGTGGCTCTGCACTTCTGCATGCCTGCTGGTTCAACGTCCGAGCCATTCTAACCATTCATCAATTCTGTACAGCCGGTATAACCGCCCTTTAGCGTAACACACAAGCTTCTGTATGGCCAGTATAATCGTCCTTCAGCGTAACACACCAGCGTCTGTATCTGTATCTGTATATAGCCGATATACCCGCCTTCGGCGTAACATCCAGCTTCAAATCTGTATCTGTATAGCCAGTATAATCGCTCTTCGTAACACACCAGCTTCTGTATCTGTATCTGTAATGCTAATAAGAGTGGACTCTTGTGCACAATTGTAATATATATCATGAGCTCTTTCTTGTGGAGAAGAAATATCTCGTAACAGACTATTAATGGTTACGTGCGGTAAAGAATTCTGTCGCTTGTTATTTCATTCGGCCAGTCTTTCCCTCATGATATCTGCTTGGTTTTCATTAAAATGTAGGGGCCCCAGCGAGAAATTGATGGTCGGTTAGATTGTAGGGGTTACGGATGGTGCTGAGTTTCAGAAGAAGCCCCTTCATGGATACTGTAATGGACATGATGCAGTTTTTTCCAGGCGTGAACGTAAGAGAATCCATTGATCAGGGTCCATTTAGTTTTACGTTCATCCTCGGTTTGCTAGATGTGCGCGGTATTATCTTCTATGGACACGAGCTAGTGATACATGTACCATACAGGAGAAGGGGATTGTGCCTTGGAGTAACCGTTCGCCTCATTCGCTGTGTCTTATTGTGGTTTTAAAGTTGCCAACTCCTGGTTTGAATGCAAAGGTTAAAGTCACTTTAGAGGAGACATTTAAATCTTTTTACATATGGAGTTGGTATACGAATACTGACATCACTGTCACTGTGTGTGTGTGTGTGTGTGTGTGTGTGTGTGTGTGTGTGTGTGTGTGTGTGTGTGTGTGTGTGTGTGTGTGTGTGTGTGTGTGTGTGTGTGTGTGTGTGCGCGTGTATGCGTACGTACGTGCGTGTGTGTGTGCTTGCATGCGTGCGTGCGTGTGTGTGTGTGTTGCGTTTGTGCATGCATGTGTGCGTTTATGTGCATTTGTGTATTTGTCTGTGTGCATCCAAACAACTTTCGCAGCTATATACATTGGCTACCGCGAATGCCCACCCACCACTCCTTGGATGACAAACAATCTAAATGTCAGCCCGTAGATTACATCTGACGTGAACCAAGCCTGAACCTCCCCCTGGCCTGTCGTGGGGTGAACACCAACAGGTGCAGCAGTGGTCATTAGCGGGAGAGAACACTCCGGACTCCCCCAGGACACCAGTAATTGCTTGTTCCCCTCCGAAAGCCTATTTTCTGTGCTGTTCCCGGGGCGCATGAATTAAATATGAGAGAGACTGTATCATGCACTCACTTAGCTCCGGCACAATGGCGCGTCAAAAGGAGCAAGTGAATTACTGCCGTGATAACAGGGGGAATAAACCATACATTATGTTATAGATATTGATAATTTGGGGAGTGAAACGTGCACAGTAAACGGCAAAATTACAGGAAAAGTTTCTTTTCTGCCCGTGGTGAATGTTACGACTCCATTATTATTTCATCATTTTCTCCACATGCACGCATTTGGAACTCATATTTTATGGAAGGATTTAAATATTCCGTTACAATATATATAAGGCAGAAAAGATCGTGAAATTAATGTTATGAATGTTACAGTCTGCCAAAAAGAGCCGAATTCTAGCTGAAATTGTACCAAGTAACGAGAAAGTAACAGTTAAGCCAATGTTTCAAAACGGAGTATGCGGTATTTTATCATCCCCTTTATCCCCTCCCCCTCTCTCCCCTCCCTCTCTTGGTCTCATCTTAGTCCCCCTACCGGCTCACTCCTTAACTGCAGCTCATAACTTTGAAGAATATCTCGCGGCCTTGACTTCTATATAGGTTTGCGTTCACATATCTAGTGCCTAGTTTGAACTATATTTTCATCTTCAGCTAACGGATTGCAGAATCGTCAACATATATTCTTCACATTTGTCGGGTTCCGACCCTGTCTCCTCCCATCGGAATTCTGTAACCTTCACGGGTGAGAGGTTCGGGTTCACCTTGTCAGCCAACTCCGGCAAATCGAACGATAAGGATAGCTTTACGTCACAGACGTAGATCTAAGACCCCGAAATTACAGCCCTGTCTCTACCCCCAAATACCCCGCTACTCCCTAATGCCTGCTGTTATGACTTCAGAAGACCTTTCAGGAAATTGCATTCCTTTCCACGAGTCGCAAAATCAAATCTCATCTTTGCGGATTCCCAGTTTTGCGGAGTTATATACGAACCCGGTTCAGTACGATTTATTCCCTGGCCTGGCTGAAGCACTTGAGGAATTCTGCACCCAGCAGGTTAAGTCAAAGTTCTAACGAGACTGTGTAAGAAGAGAACGCTATGTGGGTCCTCGTAAAAACCGGAATATCTCGCGTTTACGATCCGGACTGCGCTTTGGCGGCATGAGATAAGAAAGGGGAGGTCAGTCCGCCTTTTGAAATGGATAGAAAAGCTGGCCCAGTAAAACTGACAAAGGGTTGTTTTTATAGTCTAGATGTATAATGCTTTTAAACATTGCTATCTAATAACCAGGCCGGTCGGAGGAGAGTTCACTCTAAGGTCAAAGAAAAGCTTAAGCATGTAGCAGAATCATAAATGTATTATAGTCTCAGAAATGGTATTTTCTCAATAATAAGGTGGGTATTTGGGTATCATGATGATCTTTTCTTGCTGCCTCGTATCTAGTCAAGTAGTAAAGCTTATGTTCTTTTCCCAACAGTCACTACCTAGCTTAGGACAGAATCTTTTTCTCGCCAAAACAGTTGTATATGTTTTCGGTGGCATTTTAAGTGGGTTAACTATTTTGTGGGTTTATGGGTCTAAGAGAAGGCGTCATTAATATGAAGGACAACTTCGACTGTCCTTGCGGCTTTCGACGGATGTGCAGCATAACCGGTGTAGTTTTTTTTTTCCTTTTTTTCTTGCTGTTGTTATATGAAACACCCCATTGCCTTGCATTGGCCTGAGGGGGCAAGTGCGAGAACCCCAGTTGGAGGTAATAAAACGTTGCCTGTAATCCAATCTGCAGCGATATTGAAGTACACTGAGTTCAGCACCCAGAAGTGCACTTCTGAGGCTCTCCTGTTACTCCTGATTCCGGGGAGGTAATAACTATTCCGCGTGTAGCAGAATAACGAATGAATGAATGACGACCTTTACTGTACATTTTTGCCACACTGGGCTAAGTATAGGTCACAACAAGACATGATGAACAGATACTATAACGCAGTGACTCATACTGTTAAAGTTAACAAAATAAAACTATCCATCATTAGATAAATCCAACTTCTCCTCGCTTTTCAGTTACAGTAAAGATAAAAGAACAGATGCGTTTTTCTAGCTGCATATCCAGTGTACAGTGGATAAAACATGTAGTACCTCAAAACATGCTGTAACTGTGAACATTCATGTTGTGTTTTCTTTTTTGAGGGGGGGGGCGAATACCAGATCCAAGAGTGTAGCGGGTTCTAGGTCACCTATAATGGCTTAAATTCTACCATTCTACATTAATCACAGACAATTCTAGGTTAGGGGTCCATAATGTTTGTGGCAACACCTGGCACAACCTTTTGAGACGTTGGTTTTCTTGTTCATTGGTACAACGCCAATTACAACCTCAGTTAATGTGGGCCAGGCTGTAAAGTTCACTACAGAGGTTTTGGGGCCCTTGAGCGTCATCAGCTGAATCTATTCTAGTTGAACTTCAGAGTAAAAGCATAAGTCAGAGAATACGATTTCTAAATTGGATAGTTTCTGACAGGCCCTTACTGTGATCTGTAACCCATTACCCCACCAGTCGACTGTTCTCCCATTGGCATTCACGGTGACAAATAGTCCCTAGGGGACCCTATGAATTGACCTTGTTTCCAGGGCTAATAATACAGCTAATAACTTCCGCCTGGCTCGGAAGTGGTTAATCTCGGGGCTTTCAGCGCTCGAACACTGTTAGTTTCTGGCCACGGAAGCGTTTGGTTACTGTCTATTAAAATCTATATTTGGCCCTTGTCCCACTGTCGTATTGGACACTGTATCTGTATCGTGTTCTTGAGGGAGGGAGGGTACCCCAATGTTATAACTATCCACCTGTTTCATGCAATCTGCTACATGCAATCTGCCATAACATAAAGTTTGACACATACAATATGCTACATACAATCTTCTTCACACAATACACTACACACAATCTGCTCCATACAATCGGCCTCATACAATCTGCCACATACAATCTGCTATATCATGACAATCTGCTACACAAAATGTGCTACATAGAATCTGCCAACTAGAATCTGCTACACACAATGTACTACACACCATCTGCTGCATACAATCTACCACACACATTCCGCTAATGCTGGTATGAAGGAACCCACATTATACTTAATGCATGTAGAAGCTGTTACAGTTACATGTATGCGCGTAATAATGGGGAGGGGAGGCGTCTGGTAAGGGTCACAAAAGTGCCTTATGCATAAAAATGTTATACTTGGTACACAAGGCTAACAGGATATTTTAAACATAAGTGGGTGGCGGAAAATGCTGCTTGATTTCTCCCAGATAATATCAATAACTTTTTTTTCTTCTGATTTTCCCTATTCATTTTGGTATATCTGGTCATAGACATTGATGTCGACTTCATGGTCCTTTTCCTAACTGTTGTTGCCTGATACGTATACGCTCTTGAGTTGCCCTGCCGACAAGCAGAATAAACAGTAGGGTCGAGAAAGCAGAAATTGTACGAATACACGAATAGTGTGACAGTAATAAATTTGTTGAGTTGTACCTTTTCGCTCCACGTCACCATGAAAAGGTGTACATTAAACGCATACAAATTCACATAAAATCCACTCGTAACTTTCCCATTCCAGTTTTGAAACCGAACGACAACCCCACAATACAACCTGGATAATAAAAACCGCCCTGACATAATGCATCTTTTATCGAGCTATCTGCAGAATGCATCGGTTCAGATTGCATTTGCTGTGAGAGGACTCACTCATGTGCAGAGAAAGCACCAAACTTAGTCCCGAAGATTCTCGGCTGTCCGTCTGGGGATTTCTACACCCACGTCTGGAAGTCTTAGCATGGATTACTGTGACATCTTCTATCTGCGCACTATCAGCGCAAAAAGGATATCAGGGATGCTTCTTTCACCTCGAGTCATCTGGTAAAATCCCACCTCCGCATTTAGATAATACAGAATAATTCCGCCATTCCGTTCCCTGAAGCTGGATATACGTTTGAACCTACCCACGGTTCATAACCGTCTGCCGAAGTGCTCGAAGTAGGCGCAAGACGATCGACTTTTGCTTCAGACAACGGAAAATCTTAATCCTGTCTGTGAGCAAATCGACTCTCCCCAAGACTGTCTCCAATTCTTTCATCAACAAACCTGACGGACAAGTCTACCTGTTTCCCATTCTACGTACAAAGGATGTCAATGACACAAATAGTTACAAATAGGGTTTTACGGCAATTCTCCTAGGACGCTTGTCAGCTAGTTTGGGATCTAGTTTGGTAGTAACGCGAATCTATCATTTCACTGCTTTCAGAAAGTAGACGAAAAGCTGTATAACTCTATTACTGTGTGAATATGCTTGAGGGGGAGTAAAAGTTTTTCGGCGTTATGATCAGAGTTAGAGTGTTACCACTATACAATATATATCAAGACTCCTGTTACATCTACTTGGGTGTCATCAAACCATAACTGTTCCCTGGTCCATGATTAGAAATCCTGACATAACAGCGCCATATCGTTACAAGCACACAGTCACTACATCAAATAGTCCACATCATTTCACCACATCATTACGTATATATAGTATACCACGCTTGGCACTAGGCCATGTCTCTATCAGAGACATATATATATCTATACAGATGGAGCTATGAGAGGTCGTTATTTCTCAGATAGAACCGCTCAATACTAAGACAATGTTGATTTGATTATATGGATGACATCCGCGCATGAATTTTCGTCTGTTTACAAAAAACGTTTTCGACCATACTGTAATTCGCACAAAGTAGCTGCAAAATGAGCAAATGCATGCCGTAAATTGAGAAAAAAATATCGGAAAACGATACTTATGTCGCAGAATGCCAAAATCCATTCTAAAGGACAAGAAGAAAATGTGAAGGAATGAAAATGAAGAGTCTATTACTCTGTGTGTTTTCGAATTCATTTCTTCAACCTTCATGACCACCTAGATTTGATAATGAAGGCAACTAGTACTTTTTTGTCAAACGTTTTTTATTCGCACGCTCGCATCAGTTTTGGGGTTCCCAGTGGATGTCATCCATATAATCAACTCAACATGGCCTAACAGAGGTTGGGAGGCAGACGGCGAGGCTCTGTCATCAAGTTGTTTCCTCGGTATGCTATGAAGTGAACCAAAAGAGGTCTTGGGACAATGTTCACCGCCTAAATGTCATCTCATGATTTGCAGATTATAGGGGAGTAATTTATCGTGACGTTTATTGAGTAGCCTGTCTACTTTTACGATGTCAGGTAGCTTTATAGTCTTAGATATTGAAACAGACAGACGCACAGCAAGCAACGACACAATGACAAATTACCCCACGAATGGCCTTTCTAAAATTGTGATGGCAGTTCTTAGAGAAAGGTCTGGGGAAGGAAGGAAGGAAGGAAGGAAGGAAGGAAGGAAGGAAGGAAGGAAGGAAGGAACAAATGAATACAATGATAAGTGTAAGAACAACATGTCAGCCTCCCGCAGCCTGTTTCCAGACTAGCCGTTGGCGTTACGGCCGGTTATGTGTTGGGCTGCTATCGGCAGCTCCTATCTCGGCGGCACGATTGGCCCGTCTGCCGTCTGCAAATGGGGTCGTGCCACGGTAGGGATGACGCCCACCTCTGCCTGACCTCCGCAGAAGTGACGGGCAGGGGGTCGGCACCGGGTTCACCCCTCCCCAACAGCGTTAATGAAACCTCAGGTGTTTGATGGACTAAGGGACGCACCGTTATATATGCCCGAGGGAGGGTGTAGGAGCACTTTGTGATGAATCTCTCCGTAATGCTGAGGTCACATTTCCAACCCGGGCCCGGCCGGGCAGTTTCTGGGAACGAAAAGTATGATATAAAAGACATCAAAACACAAAAGATTTGCAACAGTACATATTCTTGATATCAATTGTTTATTTTTCAGTCACGTAAACAGCCCTACCGGGCCTCGGCTTGGAAATGTGACCTCAGCATAAGAGACCAAGGTTGAGTTTCCCCCTGATGTAGGTAGACTACATGTATATAAGATGGTCTAGTTTCTTTACTGTTGGCGACAAAGAATCGACTTTCTTTAAACGTCAATAAAACGAAACGGGGGGAGGGGGTGAACTCCAAACTTAGACTCACACACTGCCGTTAATATCAAAGGTGGTAAGCCAGATAAATCCATGAAATAGACATCAAAGACAAACGAATGTTACTCAATTGCCTTAGCCTGGAGTCCAAGTGATATGGATCAGGGCGAGATGGTGCTGCTCGCAAATCGAAGGAGTTCTTCACCTTATCGTCCATGTAATCGAAGTAATTTCTCAATGACTAGCGTAAGGCATCGATTAAAGGGAACCTCTTTGACATCAAATGGATGTAACAGTCTCTAATTCTCACCAGAACTTACTCCAAGTACTCAGTTTGCGCCCGAGAGCGGGACATGACTAGAAAGAGAAGGAGTTCGTCACCTTATCGTCCATGAAATCGACGTAATTTCTCAGTGCCTAGCCTAAGACATCGATTGACTTTGACACCAAACGGATGTAACAGTCTCTAATTCTTACTCCAAGCTTTCCGTTCGCGCTCTAGAGCTGGACATGCCCAGAGAGAGAATGGCTTTATAGACATAACTAGAAAATATGCTAGAAATATCGTAGATTTAAGACTTTCGGGAAGTGGTATTGCATGTTCACGTAGAAATACCCGATTGAATCACATCTTTAAATGGATTATTACTTTTTAAAAAATAACAGTGTTTTCCTTGTTTCTGCATAGTGAGCAAAAAATACTAGTACCCGATTGAATTACATCCTTGATTATTACGTATCATTAAGTGAGATCTTTTGTTTTCCTCTGTCTGCAAAAAATGAAGTCAGACCCAGTAGTTTTTAGGAGTTAACAGTATTTTTTTGTATTGATTACCGTTCTTATACCAAATGTTTCTTCTGTACTTGCAATTAGCATGAATTTGCAATTAAAAAAACTTTCATTAATAATAAACAAAAGCCCATGTTCTCCTTGTTCCTGCACAGTAAGCCTGGCGCAGTCCGACCTCCGACTGGAGGTGCCGAGGAAAGTCAGCACGATCGTGGGAGACCCCGTCACCATCCCCGCCACCTTCAGGACAACCCGCCGGGTCATGTCTATCCTCTGGTCCAAGATGCAGGGGGAGGGTGGCGCGAGGCAGCCGGTCATGTCATCCTACCCCATAGCCGACACTACCGAGGCCCACGCCGGGTAAGTTTGTTTGTTTGCTTGTTAATTAGCAAAATACAAGCATCTAAAATACTGCATATCATTATCAATCAATAACGTCCGTACTTATAAACCTGCTTTTCTGACAACTCTCTAGTGTCACTTACGAAAGGTATTGGATGCTACCTGAAACGTCTGATCGTTTCCAAAATAATACCAAGTTACTTGAGTAACTGTTTTGGCCCATCTAAAATGCTGTATGCTTACATACCTGTCCTTGGTGCTGAACACCATCCATACCTGTCCTTGATGATGAACACCAACCATATATATGTGCACAAATACTCTCCAAGCAGAGGTTTAGGCTTCGGATTTTTTACGTGTTGTTATGGCTTTTCTTTTTTTGTACTGGTATCTATTTTACCCCTGCCAAATGGATACTGTCTTGCCAATTTGATACTGAATTGCAGCCACCAAAAGATTTGTTAGAAGATAAATTCACACTACTGTCCCTGTCCTTAGTGCTGAACATGCCCACACTAACACTAATGCCCCTGTTCTTGGTGCTGAACATGCCCACACTAACACTACTGTCCCTGACCTTAGTGCTGAACATGCCCACACCAAGACTACTGTCCCTGTCCTTGGTGCTGAACATGCCCACACTAACATTACTTCCCCTGTCCTTGGTGCTGAACATGCCCACACTAACACTACTGCCCCTGTCCTTGGTTCTGAACATCGTACTCACATATATGCACACGAACCTGTCCTTGAATCTTCCTTTCATGCCACAACAATAATGCATATACAATATGCATATATACAATAGAATCACAATTTTAACGTACCTAATAACTATTTCACAAATACTACACGAGTGTACTTGTATAAAATCATACAAGCCTTTCTGAGGTTGCACATTACATCAGTAAGCCTGACAATAAGAGTGACGATGAAACCTGTGCAGGTACGTGGGGAGGGCTGAGCTGGTAGGCGAGGCGTCCCTGAAGATCACGGGCACGCGTGCCGAGGACGAGGGGACCTACGTGCTGGCTGTGGCCGTGGAGGGGCTCGGGCCACAGGAGAGATTCGTCAAGCTGGATCTCATGGGTAACACTTCCTTTTTTTCTGTAGTTCCTTAATTCCTATTTTTCTTCTTCTTACATCAAGTTTTTAGTTTGAGTTTTACTTTTTTTTGTTCCCTTTTTATGGATCGTAGTTGATTTTGAACCAGACTAGAAGTCATTATATAGTCGTTAGGATTATTGCCAGTAACGTTACATCACTTAGTCAAGTTAGTATTGTTAAACTTGATTATTTTGTTTGTTTTTTCTCCTTACGTGAAGTTAGCTTTTACCAGATAATATGCAGTTTCTTTCCTTTAACGCATTTTGTATTTAGAACGAAACACGGGGAAAACCGGCTCTCGAGTTCCTTTCACAATAAACTTGACTTAACGTGAACTAAAAGGATTATGACTTCATTTTGTGACCGTATTTTTATCTCTGTCCATGAACAGTCCCCCCGACAGTGGAGGTCGGCCCGAAAGACCCCCAACTCACGACCGCTGGGAGGTCTGTGTCCCTGACATGCGCAGTACGCGGCGCCAAGCCGAACATTACGTCACTGCGCTGGGAGAAGGGCAGCGCCATGATTGACAGTAACCGGTTCGACACCAAGTTCTCCGGCGGAACGCTACAAAATCCCAACCTGGTGATCAGGCATGTCACCAGGGGCGACGCGGGACGCTACAGGTGCATCGTCGATCACGTGATCAAGTCTGCCAGCGCTGCCCTGAACCTTCAAGTTCTCTGTAAGTCTGGACAAAAAACTATGTTTTTGTGCAAAACAATGATGGTAACTTTTACGTCTGTGCCTTTTACACCATATATTTTAGGAGTGATCGAGGTGAAAACATTCAACGACAAAATTGAGTTAACAAAATTCTCCCCTGTTGTACCGATCGATCAAGCACAATAAAATCACCGACACTAGTTTTTACATATATTTTATGTTCGTTAAACTTTTTGTTTTGGAAAAATTCATTGATTTTTTGGTTTGGAAAAATTAAATAAAGATTATTTATAAACAAAACACTGACATTTACAAACTATTAAATACTACCAAAAAGGTTTTGTAAACATTTCTAGGTTCTACCTATCTTTATTGTTGAGAAAACCTTTGAATTTATTGACTAGTATTGTGAACCCTCCGTGTTGTGCCCAGATGCGGCCTCGGTCATCAGCATCTCGGACTCCCGCACTGCTGTGATCTCCGAGTCCGTCACCCTGCAGTGCACGGCGGACGGAAACCCTCCCCCGAACGTCACCTGGACGCGGAACGGCCTCCCCGTCCGCAGCTCGACCCGCAGCCTGTCCCGGGACGTCCGCCTGAGCTCCGTGGTCCTCTCGAACGTGCAGCTGAACGCCAGCGGGACGTACGTCTGTACCGCTAGCAACAGCGTGGGGAAGAGCGACGTCAAGTCACTGCAACTCGTGGTGGAAGGTGAGCCACGTGCGTTACATACAATTAGTTTTTATTACCTTCTTGTGCAAATTATGAAAGTTTTAAACTTGATCCTACATGCACAAAAACATGCTGAACATGCCCACACTAACACTAATGCCCCTGTTCTTGGTGCTGAACATGCCCACACTAACACTACTGTCCCTGCCCTTGGTGCTGAACATGCCCACACTAACACTACTGTCCCTGTCCTTGGTGCTGAACATGCCCACACTAACACTACTGTCCCTGTCCTTAGTGCTGAACATGCCCACACTAACACTACTGTCCCTGTCCTTAGTGCTGAACATGCAAATGCTAGCACTACTGTCACTGTCCTTAGTTCTGAACATACCCACACTGATACTACTATTTCAAAGCTGCATTGATGTGTATCCCCCTTCTAAACCTGTATCCAACCCTGCTCCCTACTTGACAGAATACTCGATGGACGAAAGGAGCAGCATGATCGCCATCTTGGTCGGCGCCCTGGCGGGCGGTCTGTGGTTGATCATCTGCCTGGTCCTGGCGGTCTACTTCTTCAGAAGACGCCGCGAACGAGAAGAGAAGAAGAAGTTCTCGTTTTACTACAACATGGGCCGCCGCGGACAGGAGACGATCAACAAGAAACTGCAGGAGGACACACTGGACAGCGGACGTCACCCCAACCCGCAGTTACCAGGTCAGGTACAGGATTGGAAGTGATCTCGATCCAATGTTATCTCACCGTAGAGCTTATCTTCCGCTGGTCGTAACGAAGAAGACAGACGCCATGCACATAAGTTACAGGTTCAATTTCCCTAGCTCAGTAGATAAGCACATTATGGATATATGATGGGCAGAGGAGGGTTCCTTGTGGAACACATTTTTCGTAAATCTATTTTGTATTATGACCACGGTTACTCAATGGTTAATTTGGAAATAAGAATGTGAACTATTAATACAAGCAAAATACAATGAAAGGTTGGGTTTTGAGTATGTTGCCCGTGCAAGACTACAGCTGCATTTGAAAGTATCACGTGGCTCTCCTTTGGAATGAATACTCATTCTTTGCACATCTGCGTTCTTTCCATGACTATCTTCACGCACATCACCTTTGGCAAAAATCTGGCCTGGCAGCTAATTACAGTTAGCTTATCGCTTGGAAATATCATTCGTGTTGTGGACAAACTAGGTGTTATCGCAGCAAAGGTTACGGCAGAACCTCTTTGATGCAGCGCTCCTGTTCCCAGCTGTGGCTTTGAACTAAGGAAACTCGTTGTAGATCTCCCGCAGTACGATAAGCTAGGACCACAGGCCCTGGGTAAAAATATACCTGCCTGGTAGGAAACACAAATATAGACTTCGAATGTGAACTAAAGCCAGGTCTGATCCTCTGGCTCAGAAAACCTCCAATTTAGAGGATATCGTCTCCACGGTACAGGAGACCAGAAATGCCCGTTTAAAATGTCAAAGACGGAAGTCCTTTGATCCGGCGTTCTGTCAAGCCTAAGACAAAACCTCCTGTTAGCCCGCGTAATCTCTCCATGTCCTCCCCGTCTCCACTTGATGCAGCACTGTAATCATGACATTTGCAGAGGAAAGGTTAAACTAATGCTAGTGCTTTGTCTCCACAGCCAAGCCGATGTTGCCCACGGCGCCTAACGCTGGTATAGAGACCCTCAGGCGTACAAAGAAACAACGAGGTAAATATTGCAACCGTTTCTATCGTAACACCGTATGGGAGCGTTATAATGACTAATGATGTAATTTAAGTTGGACTTCAGACACCTGTATTATTAGATAAGATTTGCACATACTCAAAGACGCTTTAATTGACGCCATCACAATTAATTTGTTATTTTTTGAACGGGAAATATATTCTATACTACGATCATATTAGGAAGACAACATGTAAAGATGATTCATATGACGTGTTTTGTCTCCCCCACTGATGTACTCAATGAGAAATTCAAATAAACAAATAATCGGATATTACTAGGGGTATTAGACCCATATTAAAGAACGACATAGTCTGAAGTTGATAGATAGCACTTCACTTGCAGTTTGTACGTAGAGTCAAGAACGAGTTACTCACAGCACGGCTTCTAACAATGATAGACTGCAGCGATGCGATAATTGTATCACCTACAAAACAACGGCTGTCATCACCGACATTACAAAGATTACATTTAATGGACTGTAGATAAACACTATAACTCTCTGTCAGCGTGTGAACGTTAACCGTGAACCTGACTGCATTGTTCTTTACCTTCAAAAAACATGTGAGCCATTAGACGAAATTACTGTAACATCTATCATGTCTTGCACTCTGCGAACCAATAAGTAGGCGTTGTTGGTGTGCACAATTAAGCTACATCTATCATTATAGCACTCGGTTAAATGGTGTTATGATGAGAACTTGAACGCATTGTCTATTTCACTGAAAAAAAATAATGAAATACGCCGGTGAAGGTTAGACATCCAGGTAATAAGATACGCCAAAAACAGTTACAAAATCATATCCATTTGCTTGAGTAGCTGTTTTTTTGTGGCATAGACTAAATACACTTTGAAGCACGACAGTGTCCTGTCAACGTTAACTGATTTGATATTCTCGCCGTGGTGTCATCGTCCGCGTGGAATGTCGTTTGGCCTTTCGAATTTCCAAGAAACTCTCCAGACCCGCGGAGTTTAAAGTGGTTCATCGCGCTCCGAAATTGCATCCTGCGGAGAACCCCCGAGGTGGTTAAGTGGCTTTGGGCGTGCGCGTCGATGATTGCCGTTAGTAGCTGCTCCCATATTACTTCCCCGGGCAACTTCACATCAAAGCAACCACGGGACGCCGCTAGGCACAGCAAGACTCCTATCATCGATCGAATTAAGGAAATTAAAGCCCGAGTCACCAAAAGTTCAGTAATTACGGCTTGGTTTGTCATTAAGGTACGCTAATGTGTACCCTAGGCGATAGGATTATTCTGTAAGGTATGTCGGTGTAAGGTTCATGATTGTAGGCAATATTGAGCCTGAAATGAACTTTTTATCACTCCCCTAATACTTTCAACAGATATTACAAGATGATGCACACGTTGTTATAGAAGAATGCTATTATCTGTCTCATATAGAGAGAAGATACGCCAAGGCCATGTACCCGTATTACCCGCAAGACGACAACGAACTCTGTCTGGAGATAGATGACGTCATCGAGGTGCTGGAGGGGGAAGATGGCGGCTGGTGCCTGGGTTACCTGAGGGGCAGGATAGGCCTGTTCCCCTCCAACTACGTCAAGTTCCTTACTGCAAAGGAAGGTAATGCCGGATAATGTGAAGCGTCATTTGAAAGAAATAACGATTACGATTAAAAGCTTTGCAATGACGTTTGAATGTCGTTTGAAACATGCACACAGCCCTTGCAATGTCACTGTACGACATTACAATGTCATTTTATGACAGGCATCCATATAAATCGACAATCTTGTCATACATAACAGAAATGATCTTGAGGCTTTTGAGTTGAGTCTTGCTGCAGTGCAATCTAAGATCTATTAATTTTCTCAAAAAGCAACATAAGATGAAGATACTGAAGCTTTTACCATATCCTCAGTACTCTCAATGCACGAAACCATTACGTGGTAGTGCCATCAAGTGTAATAAGATATACATGTAACTATATAAGAAAATGCATCTTTGATCAAGGAGGCTAGTGGAAGATTGAAAATGTGGCGCAGTGATAGGTCTAAGTCGTTGAAAGGTTTCCAAGTTTACAGTATCTGATTTTACGTTTACTGTAATACCAAGTAATCTCCAATACGATTCTCTGGGGCAAGGGGAGTCTATATTGACCGCCTAAAACCATTGGTCGCCCCGCTTGGGTGGCGTATCATATGCATACTGTCTTGCCATATTGATACTGTATTGCAGCCACCCGAAGATATGGAATAATGTACATTTTATACATGATTCTCTGTGGGTTTTTTTTTTTTCAGCATCTGCTGCAAAGTTGAAGGATCTTCACGAGACGAAAGACGCCGTGAAACTGCCGAACAAAGGAAGTATCTAAACCCGATACCAGATGATCGAGTGTAGAAAAGCAGTTTGTTCCAGCGAATCGACGCTAACAAGTACTTTGACCGAGGAGATTACAACATCCTTGCTTTGACATTTACGTCCAACTATCGAGAGAAAACCTACCCCATCGTTGGCACGTGACCAGGGGGAGAAACTGTACAGAATTTAATGTAAAGACCAAACTTAGAAATCCACACATTATGCGTCTACATGATTCTATGACAGACGCAATGAACATTTAGTCGAATTTGATGCCCTTTCCAAACTTCGGCGCCATTTTGAATCTGCTCTCGCGAGAGCACACTCTCGCGCGAGCCCACGTGATCTTGATCATAGAGTAAGAGATGAGATGTGTAAAAAAAGGATGTGCCATCCCAGAGCTTAACAATGGCTGATGGAAACGATGCCACAACTTTTATTTATACGCCCGTTGAGACCAGCATGGTGCTGAGATGTATAAGCCTGGCGTGGGAACGAAGGAGCGAGTCCTTTCTGTGAATACCCAATGATGATAGCGTCATGAAACTGTGTGTATTATGTGACGTATGCAATGTGTACAGTGCTTACTACTTCAACCAGCTCATGCAAGATTTGAAGCTTGGCGATGTGTTAGAAACACATCTATGGGTATAACCGCCTGTTTCCTTTGTACGAGTATCTTAACTCAAGTTGTAATATTTACTATTATGGTTTCTAGTGTCGTTATTGAAAACGAATTTCCTTGTAGTGATAAAAGGAAGAAAATGTGACGTACCAATTGTTCAGTGAAGAGAATACTGTAGCATAGTAGAGCTATGTCTAATCAGAAATTTATAGGACTCTGCATATAGAACTGAAACCAAAGTATATCATTTTTAGCTTAGAGTAGAGCGTGTTCAGAGATGCTTGCGGCTTAATCTTATGACTACAATGGTTGGATTTACCTACCCAGGCAGAGGTAAATTTAGGCGTCGGCTTATTTTGTCCGTGTTTTTAGCCGTTTTATCGGACTCCCTTTGTTGTACTGGTGCCCTTTTTGACGCTAGTCTAACTGGTAAATGGTAACTGTCTGGCCAATGGGCACTGCCTGGACAATTTGATACTGTCTTTGCTGCCACCGAGGATCTGCTTGGAAATAAGGACTTACTGTATAGTGTACGATGCTGCTGTTATGTTTATCGTTGTGTTATGATAGTTAATTCTATTTTACTATACTATACTATACTATACTATACTATACTATATTGAAAACGTTTGCAGCTACAATCATGTTTTTGTGTCAGTAATGCAGTAATGTGCTGCTGAATGACAGTAGATTAAACTTAATGTCGTCAATTGGTTTGAAGTTTATATTTCTTTATTCTGTCTTACTCTCGTGGTCTCTCTTTTCACGAAAGCACAAAAGCTATTTCCCACAACCATTGAGGGACACAAATTGAGTGAGAGACAGACAGAGAAAGAGAGTAGGAGAGAGAGAGAGAGAGAGAGAGGAAGGGGAAAGAGAGAGCTAGGAGGGGAGAGAGGGGGCAGTGCAAAAGTCCCTGGCCTGTATACGTAGACCCTACATGTAGACGTAATTAATCATTAATGACTCACCCAACCATATCTATCACAACCTGACCTAAGCGCCGTACGGAAACATACACACGAGCGTACACACACACGCAGACACACGCACAAACACACATTTCCATTTATTCAAGAAGGTAACAATATGCAACTCAATTGACTCAAAAGTTGAATTATAAGAGGGGAAGTCAGATAAAGTGAAACTTCACATGCCCCCAACCGGGTCAGACATCGTATCTAGATTCCACAGGATAGAGCAGACCCATTTATCACGTGACCCCCGCCGTTCCCATGGCAACTGTTCCGTGATAAGGCTGCGGCCCCTGCTGTGTGAGAGTGTGTATCACAGACGGGCACGGACGGTATCGTGCCGGGGCCGTGATTACAGCAGGCAGCCTGCGGTTCAACAAGGCAAGAAAATTACTCACCTTTCGGGACAGTGCACAATTCTGGATTTGACTTTCGAATCGAATTCGATTCTGATAACACGTGAAAAACGGATAAATTGAAGTGCCCTTTAGCTTTGGCATTGGTGTTAAAGATACCCGATGCAATTTCAGGAAAGCTAAAAAAAGTCTGGATGAGGAAATCTGTCTGATGTTAACATTGATGGCCATTTCTTAGCATGCGCAATTCTGTATTTGAGTTTCGAGTCAACAGATACTTACTAATAGCTCTAGACTGGTACCCAGCCTTGTTAGCCCTAGGCCCGCTGCCAAATTAAAAGGCTGGTGTTTAGGCTAATTTACGTCATTAGAACGAATAGGGTTGTTTCGACTTACTAGTACTATATAATATTATAAAATGAACGGAAAATTGACGTTTTACTGCCCATAAAGGTGTCTTGAACATTTTAAGTCCCACAAAAGTTGAGTTGCTTAAAAAAATCGTTTCTTTGAAATTCAATTTGACTCATTGTTGTTCATAACACTGATAGATTAACTATAATATATATGTTTCCTTGTGTTTTCCAAATTCAATATTGATATTAAATGCATATTCCTAATCTATCGTATCTGAAGTTGATATGACACGTTGGTAATTAAAAGTTAAGTTTGTATCTTTATCGGAAAGCCTCACGACCAGATATCGTCTCAAGGAATATATGAGACTATCCCTTACTTATAGCAAAGGTTATCAATTCCTTCACCAAGCTTGGTCAGGTTCCTCAGGCTTTTCTAAGAAACAAATCATCAAGAGGGAAGAAAGATTGATTTATTTCTCCAAGAGCAATCCCAAGGATTGACCTTTAAGTCCCATTAAGTATAATCGTCTCCCAGAGAAATTTGAGGTATGAAGTTTTATGTCGTCTCGACGGTATAAGACGTTAGTGGGGGCATGTTATCTTCCTAACACAGAATAGCCCGAACCTAAGGGGGGAGGGCAAGGGAAATGGTTACCTTCGGGTGTATCAAAGGTCGAATAAATTAGTTTACCTTGGAGAAAAGATGGCCCGTTCATCGGTTGGAAGAAGATCTATAGGTGGCAAAAGCTGGAAGGCAAAATCAGGATCTATCGCAGAGTGAAACTCGCTATCACCAAGTACAGTAGGAGCATTAACATCAAATAACTTTAAAAATTATTTAGAGTTAGATGTTCAAGGATTAGGTGTAACAAGTCGATCGATGTAATGTAGCCAGCTGCCGCCACGCCGCGTGCCTGCGAAGCTGGTGTGTTACGTATACGCCGAAGGGCGGTTATACCGGCTATACCTATACAGATACAGGAGTTTTAACATTTGTGTAAACTGTGCACGTATATAAGCTTTAAAGTCTTTGGGGTATGCAAGCGATCGCCATGACGTCACCAGCGCATGGTAGGCAAAAGCGGATGACGGTTGGCTGATTTGCCTACCAATAATTTGCAAATGTATTCAAATAATTTGCATGTATATGATGTACACAAAAACAGCTATCGCTCGTATTTGGGGGCATTTTTAGTGTAAATGTTTGAGAAATGTCTTTTCGTAATAGTTCTGTGACCGTGCATGTTGACAGATGAGATGTGTGTATGATACATGGTTTGTAGAAATGACGGTAGAGCATAATTCACGACTGCCTTTCCACCAGCTAAAAGCCTGATTTTTCATTCATTCACCATTGCTTTTGTTCTCCATTATATTGAAGCTCGAATCAGTAGAAAGAAATTCGTTTGTCTCGCTTTCTTCACTTTCCGAAGTCTCTTGCAAAAATTTAAGGGACTCCTCACGTAGCTTGTTTAAGGACTATTTCAAACGCTTCAAGTATAAAATGATAATGAAAATGTGCTACGAAATGGCACTAAATGTCAATATCCGATTTTTTATCCATAATTTTTTGTGGTTGTTCTTATTTTCCGCCCTAAAATTGTACTGAGTGTGTTTTAAACTATACAGTACGATTAGAACTAGGCTTTAAAACTGGCAATGGGAGGGCTATATATTATACAATATGACGTCCCCTCTTAGCCTCCATAGCATGCCAAAAACTGGGAGTTTTGGGGGTCTTCAGGGTCTTTGTGAGCTTTTATGTTATTTTCTGATTGCATATAGACAACATAGCCGGCCTGGTTGAAGACCACAAAAAGCCCAGTTCTATAAGCCTGCTACGGAGGCTAGTCCCCTCCCAATATAGTTCGAATGGACTCCCCCTCACACTGCCCCTTCTACAGAAGCCCATTTCTCCATGCCATGCCCTCCGGCGGCCCGTAGTAAGCGCGGTGCCTTTATGAGATAAGACACTCCTAGGAAATTACCTGTGTTTACGGGCCCCGGGGGAGGGCGGCAGATGACACGGAGGGCAACAGTCGGGCAGGCGGTGGTCTCAGCGGGCATCCCAACCCAATAACCGAGATATGGGACTCCTTACGCCGCGTGTTTATGCGTGTTCCCTCTGGTGTTCATTTACGGAACAAGGTTGCTTTTATTATTAGATGTCAGCTCCCCTGAGAAAGAAGAAAGTAGGAGTAAAGAGAGATCTGTGCTTTCGTGACCCCCTCCTAATGTATAAAGAAAGTGGCGCCTGGAAAGCTTGGAAATATGGATACAAATACTAGTATGACACTAAAGGCCGAAGGCATTTGTGAATCATTTTAACTTCAAACCAGCTACAGAAAAAGTATGAATAAGCCTGTACACGGAAGAAGGAAAACAGGTAAGCCTAACCAGAGATAGTCTTGTTTGTCCACATCCTTCAAGAATTACATTAGTGCTTCTTACAGAATGTATAGACATAACCAAATTACACGTTTTAGATCAAAGAAAAGTGACACCACCGTAACCCTTGTAAGTTGGCTTAAGATATTATCAACCATGTTCAATCTATCTAGATTTGTATGTAAATACGCCATCATGATAGATTTCTGGCCGTTTCGAATTCGGCACTTCTATTGCTTGGACGGAGTTGTCGCGCTAGGGTTGCTGGGAATGCTGCAAACCAAAACAACATGTCCCATCATGCCTTTCGGCAAAACGCCTCAAGCGAAAATGGCGTCATTGAATCAACGACTACTGTGGCGTTGCCAAAAAAGGAGAAAGAGGACCCCCGCTGTAATATGATGAATACTTTCATTTTGCATTTCCATTTTTTCCAGACACGCCACCTGTAGGGTCGTAAATATTGCTGTACTATATCATGCACACCTCTAACAAATAATTCATATCACAAAACATAACTGTTATTCTGCCGTGACAATGACAATAGCGTGCAACGGCACGTGCTTTTATTTACCGTAAATATCGTCCGACTTTCCTCAGAGGTTTGGTGATGAAAAGATCTGTGCTCAGATGGAATAATAACAACCGACTGTGCCGAAGGAAAAGTTGGTGATTTTAAAGTATGGGCCCTGGAAAAAATGTCTGGTTTTCCAGCCGACCCTAGCAAAACCAGCCGTCCATGGCAAAAACCTGTTTTTTTTATTTTGTGTGTGTGGGGGAGGGGGGTCGCTGGCAAGGGACTTTACACCTGAATTTCAAACCCTCGTTTTTCCACGCATTTTCAGAAGCAATTTTAAAAGTAAATTTCTTATTTTTTTCCAAAATTCAGGCGAAAATCAATGCGCGCTGATGTCATCCATATAAATTGCTTGCTGTGGCCTTAAATAAAAAAGGAGACCACCTGAAAGTTCTACATCCTTTTCAGGGTACCAGGGTACTTAGCCGACGGAAGCACGGCACACTAGTGTGTCGCAGAGGCCAGCTCTCTACGGGAATAGTTCCATTTCACGGATTAGCGTTTGGTTCATTCCAGCCGGATGGACCCATTTAGACATATAATAACGTGAGGATGAACAGACATCGTCCTTGTGTGCCAATGTCATTCTGTCAGCGAAGTGACACTATCCTGAACTAACGTCCCTAAGCTAGAGCACGGCAGGTAAACCCGACAAAACTGTGACACGGACAGCTTCACCGTATCTGTAATTTCTTTTAAACGGGCCGGTATCGCGAGGGCCAGGCGTGTGCGCCACTGGTTCGCACGACATCCTACGTGAACGTTATATATATTATTAATATTAATGCAGTCAAACTTTACATCTTCCCCCGAAAAACAAATACAAGATACACTAGAGCATGTAACGTTACTGTTACCAATGCATGTAAATCTGTTAACTTTAAGGGCAGCAAAGTAGCTGACAATGACCATTTCAATTGTTGTCGCGTCGCTGTGATTTATTTGCTCTGCATTTGACTAGTGTTAGTAGTATGCCTAAACCCCAAAAGGGCTACAATTATGGCACAAATTAATGTCTGGTTGCCGCGTACTATCATACCCGCTAGTTAACCTTCTCCCTGCTACATAGCCCTGTTAATAGTCTAAATTCGGCGACGAAAGGCTACCTCAGCTGAGAAGGTTAAAAAAGACAGGAATAAAAGAATGTCACGACACTACTTATTCCCCACTTAGTAGCGCCATGACTTACTGGGGTGCCTCTCCCCAGCGGCCACATGTAGGGCCACTAGGAGACAACAGAAGCGGCAAAGCTGGTGACTTTAATCCCGACCCCACCCGGGAATCGAACGCGGGAGGCACTTCTAAAAGGCAAGCAGCACGCTACGTACTGTGACAGACATCTTTAAAACGCGTCTCTGTCATTTCTCTAGAGCCCACTGTCACACAGAGCCGAATATGGCCTCCAAAACACTGCCGAACTCTCACAGCCATGCATAGGAGTAGATAGGTCGGGAGCAAGGTCGGCTTTGGTTGGCTATTTGGCGAGATCGGCTACTGTTTGGCTGTGCTAGTCAAATGTTTCAAAATGTTTAAAACATGGACGTTGGGCCATGTTTGGCTGGTGCCTGAGAGTAGTGTTCGGGGGGTCAAATTCGACTCAAATTTAACTTAAATTCGGTTCGATTCGTATAGAAAGGTAGGTGTGGGCTTAATTATCTGGTCAGACTGCTCCCGAACTTCAGCCAACCTTGGTTGCTTGGTGGTCGGGGGGAAGCTTCTTAATGTATGACCAGGGCTTATGATAGCTGTCCTTCATTTGCTGGCGTTCCGTTTGGGACGTCCACTAGTATCTGATGATCGATGCTGATATTAACGTGCCAACAAAATAAAAATTGTACCCATCAGAGACGTTTTGAAAAAAGGTCACCGCGTCTGGAAAGCTGTATTTCTAATCCAGCAGGTATACCGAAATGCCACCATCGCGGCTAAAGGCTTTTAATTTTCCCCAGCTTTATTATAATTTCCGTCCGGTAGTTTGTCGATATTATCCAATTCTAGGTTGGATAAACATTCCAGCCTCTCGTGGGGGGATGAATAAAACATCAAGTCGACCCGCGGCTGGGTATGACACAGGGAGACGGTCTGGGTAACGTCACACCCTACTCCCGCGGATCGGTACTGAAAGCACCTTTACCTGACCTTTTTAGTACATGAATGGAGGCTGTTTATATGCAAGAATTGGAGTAAGTGAGCGGATGAAATTTTAATAGGAAGTCCTAATTGTTGTTCCCGCAAGCATGGGTCATATTTCTTTATCAATTTGACTGAGCTAATTGTCAAAATGTAGCCTTTTTCAATTACTCTGCACGAATTATTCCTCTAATCTGACTATATATATTGGACTGTAAGCGGTATGAGAATGTGGCAGCCCGCATGGCAATGGCTGTCAAAGGTTACGCCGTTTCATCATTGGCACATTGTCTTCCTAGCTGTCATATTATTGCGGTCAACTGACTTAGTGCCGAATGACAGCCAATCTAGACCCTTGCAGCCCACATTAATTGTAGGCTATTGATAATTCAGCTCTCACTTACTCACTCACTCGCTCTATCCTGTAGCTTAGTCAGCCGTTGGGGCAGCATGATGTTTGGGAAAGGTTTTTCCACTGCTGACGTTCTTTTGCTGACTGCAAATAGATAGTGGGGCACACAATAATAATATCGTATCTTTACAAACTTATAATGGATAAGCTGTGCCGAATAAAGCACACAACAAGCCCTTACTTGGGCTAACATAACTTTGAATTATGCTTCATAAAACATATGGCACTCCTGACCTTGCAGGTATAAAACGCATCAGAAATATTGATATTTAGGCGCGGACCTCTCCGTGGTGCTGAATTTCCGGTAGTAGAACTCCATTGAAATTATCTTTGCAACCCGCTTCCGGTATTTGCGACGCAGTAAAATATCGGACTTAAAATGTAAATTACTATCGGACTTGTAATGTACAGGAGCTAGTCTGTGTTCTTAAAGATGGTGAAGCAATTGGAAGTTTTGCACAGTGCAACAAAATTCAAATATAATATTGAACTCTTTTTTCAATGCTCCATCTTTTTGTGTATCATATATGCAATCTTTGGTATCAAATATCAGATTTTCTCAGGACACGTCCCAATCCAAAAATTGTCAGTTGCGTTTTGGTTAACGTTGGAACAACATCCTTGCGGAATTCCCAGCAGGGTAATCAATGACCATGGCTCCGAAAGGCGCCTGAACTAAGTGAAGCGTCTCCTAGCGTCTACGGCACAGTCTGCAGGACCATATAGAGTTTGTCTACGTCCATTGCGACTTTAAATTATGTATATATGAAAACTGCATCTTTGTTATTTTATCCCCGCTTACCTTTCCCCCCATGAGGTTTGAGCTTCTTATGAGCAAAGAATGGTTGAAAGAAATGTCTGCACTCATCTTCAAGCTTTATAAACATCCATCCATCCATCATAACTACTTCTGAAATGGAGCATAGCATGCCCATGCTTCAATATGGGACTCCTGTATGATTATATACTGCTTACATTTCCTAAAGCAGGCAGGGAAAGTGTTTAATTAAACCTTGGCAGGGAAAGTGTTTAAAAGACATATACATGGTAATTTGGAAAACTTTTCGTGGGAACACAAATGAAGTACTACTGGGTGAATTTCTTTGTGTTTGATCAAAAGTTTGAACTTTTGACATACTTTTGGCTATGTCAAAATGCTGAAAATTATGCTCATGACATGTTACTGCAATTACTCTTATTACTCAAATCTAGTCTTGACTAAATCTAGGGAACATTGCAAGAAAAGACAGTAGACCCTGTACATTATGTGTAACATGTGGGACTGTGTAATTTCTCTTTCAGGGGAGTCTAACAATAGATGTTGCCGACAAGTTGTGAACACTAGCGGCTCGATACATTCTGTACGACTTAACACTGCACTGTGGCTGGCCTGGTGAGAACAGCACTGAATGACTAGTGTGGATAAGACAGCAGCTAGCACCTATAATCAGCAAGGAACAGCTAATATACACAGCACAATGCAGCGACAATAACTACAGGCAAGAGCAGCTAGCTGCGGCAATAAATATAACTTAGGATTAAAGTTTCAGTTCATCAAAATTCCCCACACCAACACCCTAGTATCTAATGAGAAGTACTGCCCTTCACAACTTTATTACCCCAACAAAATGAGCTGTCATATCACATGCTAGGGTTGTCCTGCTGTCATGTTATAGGACAGAAGTAGTACACTCCATTTTGGAGTCTATTGTGCTACTTTGAGTCCTATAGGGAGACACAGAAACAACTCTTGCATGTCTGACTACTCTTACAGTTTCGCTTGTTTCAGTGGCAATACCATTTGTTACAAGCACATTGCCTCTTTTATGCACAAATGGCATTTTGAAAATGCAGATTCAAATTTAATTCTTTAGTCAGTGATACTTGGTTCCCACTGTTTATCCCAGGAAAATATTTTAAATTGTTTGAGGGTGTGGGGTGCATGAAATGTTTACATTTTTTTTAAAATCACTGTGACACATTCTGGTCTGTTGGCTCACAAAGAACAGAAACGGATTGTTGAAGAAAACATCAGTACACGTGCATGACCATTGCCACAAAATGAGCAAACGGCCAAACAAATATACAAGAAACAACGATTACTGCTTTTTGGGAGTCAGAAATAGCAAAATAACAACTCGGTAACAGCTTGCCTGTAGTTATTGTTCACAACTAGGACCTACTTGTAAAAATGTCCGTGTCACCATGCAGCTGCAAAACGCCAGGAAATTAAAACACAAGCTGATATCTCGTACTGCAGATTGTCTAACATTAAAAGTACCTGTATTTTTTTTCTCCTGTTTTCTTGGTTTATAGTTAATTAATAATCATATGCATTACATCAAGACACCTCTCTGCATAGTTAACAACAGAAACATAAGCCTTAAATAGAAATAGGGGAAACTATCTAGTCACATTTGGTGACTTTCCTTGCCTTATTTTGTACACTTTCAAGACACAAAGTTCACTCATACATCTTATGTTTTTATTCACCCCCAGCTACATACACGAATCTACACAACTATACAAAACATGGTCCTAGAAAGGCAACAGTTTGAACAAGCTTCTAAAAGAAATTGTGATACATACAGGTAATGCTACCAAACTTTTAAACGTTTCATCTTTAAAATGTTGTTCATCTATTGAAATTAACATGGCCAAATAGGATCAAAGGAAATAGGTTTCATCATATGGAGTAAGTGCCTGGTACATTTTACAAACGAAAAGACAAGCCACTATACAGTAAAGATTATCCTTTTAAAAGCTTGTTCAAGACAATGTATTCCTTTCTTGTGCTTTGGAAGAAAGTCATTTCCCAAGAATACTTCTTGTCATGGGAGGCCAAATATCATTACATTGACATATGTCATCTACTTTCCATTCTATCTGTCTAATACATTCCTATATTACACAGTGATACAGTTCTGCTTATATTTTTCATAGGTATCCTCAAAATGGCAAAATCGTCTGTAACTCTTTACAGAACATATAGCTATATTTTCCCCCCAAAGTCTACTTCACACACACACACCAAGTCTGACGCACACTGGACTGACATACCAACTATTGCTCATGCACCTAGAACAGTTTCAGAAGTGAAACGGCTCTGTCTGTTGTGAACATGCACATTCAAACCTAGGTGCTAGAACATGAAAATAACCTATACAACATTTAAATATTCTCACAGCTTTCAACAGGGATGGAAATTAAGGACTGGACTAACACTGCCCATATTTTGTGTAGTAATCTCTGTTGCAGAGAAAGGGGAGAACACAGAGCTTCTGTAATTCATACAGCGCAAAACCAGATTATACTACGGTTGTGAACAACACTTTAAATGCCCTTGGGTTTTATCCTTTTTTAGTAAGTGCACAAAGTCGATTCCAACATCCAAAGAGTGAAATTCTTCTGGGGTACATGGATTACATTTTTCACTTCCACTGGACAATGATATGTACTGTACCATAACTTTAACACACCAAATTGAGGGCTATTTCACAAACTGCAGAAACGTACATATACACATCGGGTGGGGGAGTGGGTGAGGTTAATTTCCAGCCCTGTACAGGAATGCTTTATAATTTTGTACTATCCTACAATGCTGTTTCGCTCTGTCACGCTGTCTTCACCCCTTACTGGTTCGATGTCACCGCCCACACTGCAAACATGAAGGATGGGGAGGGGAGGGGGAGGGAAGAGGTGCGGGGGGTAAAAATAAAGCATGTGCAATATTGAAATGAAAATATAACCATAACGATGAATGAACATAAAGACATAAATCTTGATGATGTGTGGAACAAAACAGTGAAGAATGATGGAATGCCTACCCCATCACTGAGTTGCCCACACTACCATACGATGAAGCAACGGTCACAGCAAAGGATAGGAGAAGGTAGAGGGGGAGGGAGGGGGGTCAAATCATGCCTCATTAGTTGGAATGTAAACTTTGCAAAGATAAAAACCTTATACACAAAGGTAAAGATTGGTATAAAGTATGCAAGAACAACCCATAGACACATACTGTGCAAAACGGGGGCCTGCAGAACGTACTGTATATGCCTCATGCCTACTTGTAAAAGTAAACTGTCATGTGGTTGGGACGGGGAGATGGGAGAAAAAGTCATCATTACAACAGTTTTCCACTGGGAGAATGGATAACTCCACTGTGTTCCCATCCACATGAAATCCCAGGTTGTGAGAACAACAGTTTTTGTGACGGTACACACTGACAAGACACTGTCATCACGAAAAATCATAAAACATAAACGAACATAAATGCAAATTCATGGTAGCTGTACTACAAAAACAAGATACATTTCTCTTAAATTTGGCAGTCCATCCCAAGAGCATCTCTACAGTACATGTACAAGTTAATGTACCATTCACTGGTAAAAGTTACGCAAAAGTGTTTTAGTTCTTGTCTTTTCTTTACAATCAGGCACAGTAGTGCCTTTTTTTACTTGGTGGATAGTGTCTTAATAGATGTATATAATAATTGGCTTTGTGATGTTACAATCTAAAAAAATTTTACATATAACATTATCATTTCTTTTCAGACTTGCAACATTTAATTTACTTGTATTCAATACATATTGACATCACACAATATACCAGCACACAATGACAAAAATAAAATGTACTGATAAAGGTTAACAAGAGACATTGTGACAGTATCTGTGAGTTTTTGGTCATTCTCTGCTGTGTGACAGTCAACCACACAAGTACAGACAACACAACAGTTAAGTGAAACAGTTAACTGGGGTTTCATGTTGGTTAGGAACCAGTCTGGAGTTATCGCGGGGTGATAGTAATTTGTTTCAGGGATGCAGGGAGGATTTGACTAATGGGGTTCGTGCCAATACTGTGCATTAACAGGGGTACAGGGGAGGCTACCTTACCATGCATAGGCAATATTTCTAATTTCTGCAGGCAGACCCATGCACTTTGTCAGCATGAGAGCATGTTGCAAGTCAAGACACAGAGCAAGAGTCTTCCACATGCGTTGTTAAAGTGTGCGAAGCAATGCAATGCCTTGAAGCATTTCCATACAACATACAATGGCGAAGCATGCTGTTATGCCACAAGCGCATAGAAAAGTCTATACTGGGGCTCATTCAAGTAACAGCTATTTAAGGTCTAAAACTTGCATTTGCAAGGGATATGCTACAATATCAGCCACACCACAAATTTTGAAAGAACCCAAACATTTTATCCAAAGTGACTTGAGCCCTAGACAAGACTGCATGCATGCAGACACAGTCATCACCATTCAGTGTTCAGGACACGCATGAAGACCATCTACAAGTGATTATGCTACTGAAGCAAACATGCATTTCATGAGTGGTTGACTGACAAAATGCCATTAGATGCTAAGTGCAGTGTAAAGGGCAATAAGTCAATCATTGTTCAAGGCAGCAAGGCTTGTATGCAAAAGATAGTCATACAGACATGTTTGCTAGTCACAAACAAAAAAAAGTTATCATTCAGTTGGAGCATACATGCATATGCATCGCAGACATGACAATTGGTTCTCCTCTAAAGTGAGCAGGCACCTTGGATTATATTCTGCAAAGGCCACATATAATTACTGCCTCAACTATACTGTATTTGAAATCTTTTTTGTCAAGTTTGAGATAATTCTGCAGTTAGAGGGAAAGGGTGCATTTTATTGTTTTAGTTTACGAAAGAAACAATATTGTAACAGTAATATGGTAGTAAGCCATTTATATTTTATAAGTGCATGCATTAAACACACTGTATATATCTATGGTTCACAAGTTCTAAAAGAACAGGGCAGATTTTGGATATGAAAGTCCTGCTCACATCAGAGGTAGATTGTTAATTGTCCTTTTCATGCAACAAGGTGGGTAAAAGCAGAGAAGGCCATGTCACTGAAACTGATTTTTGCAGGAAAAACTTCCATATACAATATGTTGTTTCTTTCATATTCAGAGTTCTCACTAGGTTGTTTGAGCATAGGAAATCCAAGACATATATACCATTTTGCCTTGGATTTCCTAAATTTTAAAACTAAGTGCCAAATTGACTGGATTTTGACACTCAAATGAAACTATCCTTCCAAATGTGTTAGAAATTTTTCAATGCAGTGCCAGTTTCACAGACAGACCTTCATACTTCAGTGCACAGTGGACAGGAGAAAGCAGCGGAGAATACTCACGGACAATAATTACGATTATTATCAGAACCACAGCCCCCAAAATGATCATCATCTGGAGTCAGGGAGAGATGTCAGAAGGCAAGGCAGTTAGTAAGGACAGTTCAGTTAGTGTATGTAGATGTAGCAGTAAAATACTCACCCACAATAATGACAATTATTATAACAATAACAGCGATCAGGATCAGCCACATCTATGAGATAAAAAGAAAACAAACAATGTATGTGTGGAACAAACAAACAAGGCAGCTCATAAACAACAAAAAATGAAAAAGTATATAAATATCTACTACCAAATGCAAACAAAGTGTAAGTGATTTACATTAATGATTACAACTTTGAATAGTTCAAAGTAATATTCAACTAATGACTTTAATTCTAAATATATTAACCATTTGAAAAAGGTTGCCAAAATAAGTGAATCTTTCAATTTGAAAACAAATATACTGCAGTGCAAATAATCAACACATAGTGAAGTAATAGCAACATCATAAACCATGTCATGTGATGAGAGACATGAAATGACAGAGAGCTTGGTCAATGTTGATCATGATTATGGAAAGCAGTCTACAAAAATCCCCAAAGCTCGTAGAGTATTTACAGGATTCCAAACCTAGATTCAGGTGTTCCTGGCAATGAGTATACCATGTGAAATCCACTTGTACAACGATTTGAAAACATGATACCCTTTCACTGGTTCTCTAGTCTCTATCTTACTATGTTTGGAGATTTTTACACAAAGAATGGTGTTGGAACCCTGACCTTTCAACTAGTCACTCTGGTCTTTCTCAATAGACTGACCAGTGACAACTGTACTTTGTCATGTGGTTTCTCTGAAGTGTGGCGTCAATTGAGGAAGACCCTAGTGACTGGTCAAAAGCTCTTGAGAACCATTCTTTGTGTTAGAACAAAAGAAGCAACTACCAACACAGATGAACTTTCATGATGCCATGTCCTCCTGAAGACCCTACCTTGAGATTTTTCCACCAGTACTTGCTCTTGAGTTTCTTGGCGCTCGTCTCAAACTGGGAGGCTCCCTGTTGCAGCGCGTCGGCACGGTCGTCCAGTTCCGACAACTTCTGATCTCGCTCCAACACCTTGTCCACGTTCACACGCATTATATCCACCACCTGAGATAGAAAGCTCATAGGTAAGCTTTTGGTGATTGCAAAACTTCTATCACATGTCAGGTTTTTATCACAATCGACTGAGACGGTGAGAGAAAGAACTCTCCTAACAGTCTGGAGTAATGGCACAATTCTCTCTCTCCAAGTCAAACTCAAAGCTTAAGACAAAATGGGACAATTTGGACCCCTGTGCTGTGATTTAGTCCCCTACATTGTCTTCAACCAGCCTAAAAGTTTTTTCAGGAGAGCTTCGTGATCCTTTCATAAGTCTTTTATAAGATTAAATTTGACATAAGAATGAAAGCTATAATGGAGGGAAATTTTACAATACTTCAACAAGTAGGAAATAGTGTCTCAGAGGGTGATGTTTTTTTTTTATTTTTGGGGCAGAATACCATACCCCCTACTGTGGCCATGTCTTTCTGAGCCTGACTCAGAAAATTCTAGTAAGAATCCTGATTTGTGCTAAACGTGTTACCATGACTACCGTACCTCGTCCACCTGTGCCTGTGTCTGCTGTAGCCTCTTGTTGTGGGCGGCTGCAGACGGCGGAGGGAGCCCGGAGATCCCAGATCCTGTCGACCTGAAGGAGGGAAGATAACACACATCTGTGTAAACACCTGGGCAAACAATAGGGCTCTGTACTTGTATCTGTACCTATAGTACCTATAAAACTATTCACAGGTACAGGTCTGAACCTGAACAAGCATACTTGTACCAAAATTAACTGAAACACTACTGACATTTTTGAAAGACTTAAGTCAAAAGATAAACTCTGACTCAAAGATGATAATTTTGACAATTTAGCACTTGCACACCTATCTGTCTTTGATGCTGAAAACCATCATAACACAAACACACATACCAATCCCTAAACAGCATTCATTTGCTAATTGTTAGACAATACAGAGGCTCCTCCTTGGAACAGTTTCTACAACTGCAGAAGTTTATTCCCACGTTATTCGTATACTACTGACACTTACCCTTCCCCTCCTTCAGGTGCAGACCTCCAATGTGAGCATTACAAGGGGAGAGATTTAAGTAGTTGTTTATGAACTTTGAACAACAATCATACAAGTACATATACTTCATAAACCAAAATACATGTTACCTGTGAACTCTTACCTGATAAAACAGCTGTAATTTTTAAAAGGTAACGATTATCTATAAACTATCTTTAAACGTTTTCAGTTCACTAGGTTTTGAGTTTACTAAATGTTTGACACTGACATACACAGAAATGTCTTCCATATAACAGATGATTTAAAGTAAGCGTCAACCTTCATGTAAGGCCGGGGTATGGACAACTAAAAGAAGCAATAGGATCCCAAAGACATAGTAAAAAGCATATGTTGTATTTTTTATAAGATCTTCCTTGTTTCCTATTATCAACATACCAGTATGACCATGTATAAGACCAGAGTACTTAGTGCAGAGTCTTAGACTGTGACTGAGACTCCCATGTAAATAGTAAAGGCACTGGTATACAATACATATAAACTTGCAGTTATTAGTTGCACAAGACAAAAAGAGATGTCAAAATAGAAATGACCATTGGGATAGTGAAACAACACATTAATACAATGCAACCAAGTACTGTATGTCGGTAAATACATCACTTTAAAGACATGACACAAAACATTATGTTAAACACATGCATGTAGTTATCCCAAAGGTGCATGGTGACAGCAGGCCATGGTGCATTTATGACTTACAAACTGTGACATTGGGTACATGACAGTTGGTGATTATAGATGGATGTTAGCATGCACCAGACAGGGTTGATAATTATTATATTAGGTGCAACACTGCTTCTCCTCTCAACAACACTTAATGAATGAATGAATGAATGAATGACTGGTTTATTAGGTAAAACATTGCAGCCCGTCAGGCTGAAATACGTTCTACTTACATAGTACATCAAAGTACGTTTCATGACTTACATAGGACACAACTCAATATGACGAATAGCATAAAATATTACATAGTATTAAAATGTCGATTAAAATAAAATATTACAATAACAAAACATCTGAGTGTGGTTGGTTTACAACGTATTATTTGTTCGTGTTAAGCAGACTCAGTAGAGACGGTACAGGGCTGTTTTGAAATCTAGAAGTGCGGCAAGGCGCCAGTGTCATTTTGTTAGAGTTTCTAAGGTTCCTGCCGTGCTCCTGTCGCCGTGTGTTGGGGAGGAGATCAGCTGTGCGCTCCGATGTTGTCATGCTGTGTGCAAACTTGGTGCAGAGGACCGCCCGTCTCTTCTCGAGTGTTTCAAGTTTGCACATCTGCAGCCCCGTGGTGTAGTCTGTATACTTCTGACCCAAGATAATCCGGCATGCACGTTTCTGTACTCGTTCCAGTGTTGCAGTTTGTTTGCGGGTAAGTCCGTGATGCCACACTGGCGCGCAGTACTCAAGGATCGGTCTTATGAAGCCACAGTACACTGTTACAAGGTCCTCCACTGGGACTCCAAATGACTTAAGTCTGCGTAACATGAACAGTCGCTTGTTGCCCTTCTTTGTTGTTTCACTCACTTGCGTGTCCCATTTTAGGTTCGACTGAAGCCAGACACCTAACACCTTAGCGATTTCCACTGTTCTTAGAGGGTTACCGCAAAGACTGATGGGTACAGGTGGACTCGGATTCCTCATAAAGCACACTGTGAACACCATGCACTTTCCGGGGTTGAGTTTCAGTTGTGCACTTTCAGACCACTCCGCTAGGGAGTTAGCTTGGTCTTGAAGGTGGGATTCTTCGGAGTTGTGTCTGTTCTCTCCTAGCGATAGGTCATCCACGTATTTCCACCGATCATTTAGTGATTGACAGGCATCATTTATCATGCAGAGGAAGATGATTGGCCCCAACTTTGTGCCTTGTGGGACACCGGTGGTAAGAGTTTCACAGTCTGAGAGTGACTGTCCATACCGGACTCTTTGTCGTCTGTCTGTGAGAAAGTCCACTATCCACGGCACAATGGACGGTCTTGTCTCCATGTTAAGTAGCTTCAAAATGGCCTGATGGTGGTTGATGGTATCAAATGCCTTAGTAAAGTCCGTTAATAGGATTGTTCCCACGTTTTTGCTTCTTTCAGCACCTTGGTAGAGAAAGTGGGTGAGACTAATCAGGTAGTGGTTGGTCGAACTTCTCTTGATCCCCCCAAACTGACGTTTGTCGATGTTGTTCCATATGTCTGACAGCACCCATTTTCCTACGATGCCTTCGCAAATCTTCGCAAATATTGCAGTCAGAGATATCGGACGCAACTTGTCGATGACTGCTGGCAGTTCCTTGGGGATAGGTGTGACTACTGCTTCCTTCCACTGGGCTGGAACTGTACCTGCTATCAGTGAGGTGTTAAAAATGTCAGTGAGTGGTTCTGCGAGTTCACATGCGAACATTCTAACCAGTCGGGGAGCGATACCGTCCGGACCTCCCGCTTTACGAACTCTGACTCGGGACAGCTCCATGTACATCTCCCACGGCATGATCTGTGGCGGTGGGGAGGGTGCAGGAAGGTAGGCTGGTAGATCGCTGGTGCACACCTCTGGGGACTGCTGTGAGATCGATGACAGGTGTTTGTTTATCGCGTCTGCGACAGCCTTGTGGTCGTCCGGGGCGACGTTTGGGACGTGGATGGCACTGGGAGGTTTTACTACGTTGCACACAGACTTCAGCTCCTTGTACCATTTTGCTGGGTCTTCTGTTTTCAACTGTTGAACTTTGTTCACGTAGTGTGTTTCCTTGGCCAGTTTGATGTGGCGGATGATTTTGTTTCTGAGTCTTTTCCACACTTCCTCTTTACGTTGGTAGAAGGCTTCCTGTCGTTTCTTAATCAACCTCTTAACCCGTGTCGTTATCCACGGTTTGTCTGTCGGGTGGATCTTGACGACTTTGGTGGGGAAAAACTTATCAATCTGTTGGTTCAGTGTCTTGTAGAAGCCGTCTGTCTTTTCTTGTGCACTTGTGGCGTTGTAGACTTCGTTCCAGTCGTGCTGGGATATCCATGCACCAAATGCCCTGATGTCCGAGTCTTTGAGGGGCCTCACAACACGCGTGTGGGTCTTATTCTCAGCTTTAGTCACTTTTGGTGCCCAGGTGACGGAGTAGTGGTCGCTAAGTCCCAATGGAGCTCCTATAACAGGTGTGTTGTACCTGGCTGGATGTTGGTGATGATGACGTCAAGCGTGGCGTCACCTCTCGTTGGTCCCTCCACGACTTGCTGTAGAACGTTACCCCTGCGGAGAGGTGCTGTGTCAGTTCGATTCAGGTCACCGAGTATCACGATTCCAATGTCCGGATACTTCGTACGAAGATAGTCGGTACTATTGAGCAAATGCTCGATAAGGGTGTCTTGATGTGGTGAGTTAGGTGGGATGTATACGCCACATACCGCTAGTGCTGACACGGAGCGAGGGAGCTTATAGGGACGCATCCAGACCCAAACGCATTCTAGTTCACCTGGTACGTGTAGTTCAACAAGTTCGCGTGAGGGAATGTCATCGGATACGAAGACGGCAACTCCGCCACCACGTCGGTCTGATCGGTTCTTCATGAACACGGTGAATCTATCTATGTGCACGTTTTCTTCTGCATGATCAGTGGACATCCATGTTTCGGTAACTGCTGCTACATGGGCACCACAAGTGTTAATCATGGTTTCAAACTCATCCATTTTATTGACAAGTGATCGAGCATTGCAAGGAAAATGACGGTAGGCATCGTCCTTGGACGGTTTGTGATCGGTGGTTGTTCCCGCTGTTTAGCACAAACATCAGTCAGTACACGGGATTTGCATACTAGAGTCTGTTGTTCTCGTCGGTATGCTTGCGTCGTGCTGTTTACTCCGGATTTGCATATGAAGTCGGAGGTTCGGTTTACCTGTCTATTTCCAACAACAGTACTTATAACTCTCTGCAGATTCCTACCTCCTCTTTTCCCTCTGTATCTGCCCCGCATATTCAGGATTCCAAGACATCGCAGGCGAGACTTCAGCAGGGGCTCTGCAGGAAAGACGATCTGTCTGAAACTGCGTAGGAATCCCATGGAGTACAGAACACCGGAGGACGCCATGACACACACTGAGTCACGCACCACTGCGAATCCGAGCTCTTTTCTGGTCTTGACGGCCACCCGTCGAGAAGAAGACTGTTCCACACACTCCTCGGATGTTCATACGACACATATATTGCACAAAGTCCTGAGAAATATTGCACTGAACCGGTTGAAGACACCGGTGAGGCGCTCTGTAGGAGAGAGGTAAAACCGCGGCTGCTCGCTACAGAGCGCCTCCTACTCAAATCTCTACACGACTTAAATCACATTCATACCATATCCCAAATTTACCTACACAACTCCAATTTCCTATCCACTACATATAAAGTCTCAGATTGTCTTGGATTTGGATTGGGAGTCGTCCATGAAGTCTAAAATAGGTTTATTCAAATTTGCCATCCAATACATGGGATTTATGTGATGCACCCCCATGAAACTCCTTCCTCTTCGCCCCAGCCGTTCTGCTTCGCCCCCGCCCCGTTCTGCTTCGCCCCCGCAAAAAATCTGCTTCGCCCCCGTCGTTCCTCTACGCCCCCGGCGCAATTCTGCTTTGCCCCCGTCCTTCTGCTTAGCCCCCAATGGCGGCACAGCTCACAGTCGACACGAAAATCGTCTGCAAAATAACAATAAAGGCTGTGCCGCCAAATTTAAAGTAGCCCATGCTCCGGCAAACATTCTGGACCACCTTTCTGCCAAGTGGCGTTGCACAAATCCTTCCCATTCAAAAGTTTACCCCTACCTCACGGCCCGTCAGTGGTTCTTACGTTTATAAGTACTGGCGGGAAATTTCACTCACGGCTGTACTTATAAACGCCAGTACTTATAAACGTAAAAACCACTGACGGGCCGTGAGGTAGGGGTAAACTTTTGAATGGGAAGGATTTGTGCAACGCCACTTGGCAGAAAGGTGGTCCAGAATGTTTGTCGGAGCATGGGCTACTTTAAATTTGGCGGCACAGCCTTTATTGTTATTTTGCAGACGATTTTCGTGTCGACTGTGAGCTGTGCCGCCATTGGGGGCTAAGCAGAAGGACGGGGGCAAAGCAGAATTGCGCCGGGGGCGTAGAGAAACGACGGGGGCGAAGCAGATTTTTGCGGGGGCGAAGCAGAACGGGGCGGGGGCGAAGCAGAACGGCGGGGGCGAAGAGGACGGAGTTTCATGGGGGTGTGATGGTCTAGGCAAATTACTTCCAAAAGTACAGAAACATGTCGGGTCTTTTTGAGAGTCACCCAAAGATTTTGAAGCAAATTTCTTTCTGCTCTACCTTATATGGAGTTGAGAGAAAGAGAACAAGTGTCCAACAAAGTGTTATTAGAGGGATGCAGTTCTGGCCAGAGATGGTAGAGGGAGCTGGTGGAGGAGGGTTTGATGGTGGTGACATGAGACATGCACAGATACTTACCCATCACCACCATTAGCTTCATTTTCAGACCTTTAATAAGAGAAGACAGACATTGTAGGAGGTACTACTACTTCACAGGAGTCTGCGTAGTAGTGGTTTGATGGGGAACTTCTTTTGAGAGCATTTATTAAACTTCCAAACTTTTGCAATTAAAAACAATTCCTTTTTTGCATCACTTTTCACGGCTCCAAAACATGACATGGTAGGTGTAACAAATCCTATTTCTCAACTGTACAACAACTGGCAGATTTACATATGTCTATGTAGAATAACATCCTCAGATACTGCGAGTGGCATATTACATGTACTATCTTTTAATATCATCTTCACACCTTATATTATTGACTTGTTAGATGAAGTACATTTGTACTCTTGCATAGCATACAGTATGATATATACACATGAACAAGTTCAGCGTTTTCTAGTTAAAATGTTTTCAATAGCATCAAGCCCACGAATTCAATCTTAATGAGAACTATATAACAGTTACTATAGAAGTAGAAGAAATACACAATGTTGTATCGTCTTATCTTAACTAGCTATTGTCGCTCGAATGATCACAGATCACCGTGCAATTTGTGTTCATGCTAAATGACGTCAAATTACACAGAATATGCCCAAAGTTGATTCTACACAAAATGACATAGATCTATGGTGCACAAGTCAGGAAAATTCTGTTGGTGGCAAAATGTATTTAAATACTGTACACAAAGCTTTGTACAGCACTGTGATTGATGATTTATAAGAAAAAATATAAGGATGCTTAAGCTAAAACATATAGGGAGTTGTAACAACTACATAGTGTACATTTCATATTTCATACTGCAAAGGATGATCATGCAAGGACTTGGATCTCTTAAACTTCACATTCCAACACAATATTTATCATACATAAAACATTTTAATGGTTTCCTAGAAGTGTGAGGTGTTATCTAACTGGTTAAGTTTAAAACCAAGTAACCAAGTGGGCTGAAAAGCTGTGTTAGGATTAGATACTTACACTTCACCATTCTGAGCATCAGTCTCAGACCTTTTCAAGACACAATCACACAAATATATAGTAAACACAGACACAGACATACACTAGTACACAGGGTGTGTGTATTCTTTATCTCTGTCATCCTTCTATGATATCCAAGTATTTTGGTTCACCCGAAAACTGGCTTAACATAATTGGGTAAAAAGAAGCAATCAGCTATCAGTTGAATGATTGCTGCCTTTGCATTTGATTTACCTCCTTTCCAGATTATTGTATGTAATGCATACACACACCCTTTCAAGTACAGGAAGAGGAGACAATCCAAAACATATATACAAAAGCACAAGGACTGAAAGAGACACATACAGTTAAACATGCTTGCAAATATTATTGGATTAGAGCATACATGACACTTGTACGATTTTACATGCATGTACATTTAGCCCGAATGCTCAGAATATGTTCATTAAAGGAAGAAAAGAAGGGTTGATAAAGGGTAAGGACTGGTTAGTTGGGGAAAGAGAGTCATATAAATCCTGACAGAAAACCTTGTATTTGTGATTAGATTGGTGTGTTTTTATCTAAATGCCAGTCTATAGTATATGTAAGGTACAAGCAGAAGAACATTACTACAAATAGACAGTCAATATATAGAGTAGTCAAAGAAATGAAATAATAGAAAAGTTTAGATAACATAGTGATTCAGCATTACATTACATGCAATTGTATTTCCCTTGGTACCTACGGTAATTGATCATTATCTACAGAATACATGTATGTACATACAGTTATAACAATGACATGGAAGTAGCTTAAGTACATTGTACAACCAGGATCCGCCAGTGCCAAATTTTCCATATTCTCAGGATCCGCCAGACCTCTTTGCAGACAGATAAAATAGAAGTAGAAATTGGAGAACATAGGGGGATATTATATTGCCAGAGGAACTTTGACTGTTACATCTGTGTATTCCTACGACTGACTTCTGTGTATTCCTATGGCTGACTTCTGTGTATTCCTATGGTTGACTTCTGTGTATTTCTATGACTGACCTCTGTGTATTCCTACGGCTGACTTCTGTGTATTCCTATGGCTGACTTCTGTGTATTCCTATGAGTTACCTCTGTGTATTCTATGGCTGACTTCTGTGTATTCCTATGAGTTACCTCTGTGCATTCTATGGCTGACTTATGTGTATTCCTATGGCTGACTTCTGTGTATTCCTATGGCTGACTTCTGTGTATTCCTATGGCTGACTTCTGTGTATTCCTATGGCTGACGTCTGTGTATCCCTATGGCTGACTTCTGTGTATTCCTATGGCTGACTTCTGTGTATTCCTATAGCTGACTTCTGTGTATTTCTATGGCTGACGTCTGTGTATTCCTATGGCTGACGTCTGTGTATCCCTATGGCTGACTTCTGTGTATTCCTATGGCTGACTTCTGTGTATTCCTATGGCTGACTTCTGTGTATTCCAATGGCTGACCAAATCCTAGAAACATTGGCCCAACAGCTAGCTTAGAATCTACTAATTTTCTTTCAGTCTGCAGGAAAGTGACTTTTCTCTGCCACAAGCTGTAAGCGTGCATGTTTGACCCCTCCAACCTGGAAAATTGGTTTGTCCTAAATCCAATCACCACCAGACCCAGCTGAAGGTGGGAGAAACCAATGTCCTTCTCTGATTACATTCCAGAACCAATGAAAAATTGATGAGCTGAATGGCACTCCTAGTCCATGGGGAGCGACTATCAGACAGTGAAAGAGGAGGTGTGAAAAAATATAGCATTTCGATAACCTCTTTGCATGATGTAGCTTTTGAGACATTTCTGAAAAATGTGGTGACTAAAAAAACTGTGATTGAAACCATGTACATTTCCCCATCTATACTGTTACTAAGCATACATGTAGTATCTGGTCAGTTAGTTCAAACACAGAAACTAGCTATAGGTGGTATGAATAAGTGATTTTTTTCATCAGTTGATAAAAATATGGCATGATGATGATGGCAATTTGCAGGTCACCCCCTTCTTAAGTGATGCTAGGCATAATTAGAGTCATTGAAATTTTCTCTTTAACACCTGACCTTCATTAATATGATACAAACTGGTAACCAGCACCAGTTTACAGTTATTTTAGTAAACACTAAATTATTCATCAAATCATTGAGATTTATCTCAATCATGATACAAAAGTTACACAAGACATCTGATGTTATGCCACTGAGCAATGTGAAGCACTTGGATGGATGCTCTGAGTCTGACTCATAGCCGTAATGTAAAACGTATGTTGGCAGATCTAATTTGATGGAGGGTTGAAAATTAGACTCATTCAATGAGAAAGAATCAGACCTTGACTCCCATGAACTCAACAATTCTGTGAAGTACCTGTAATAAGGTAACTTACAGACTTGCCTGCGTCAGTGGCGATGGCAATCGCTTATTGGAAACAGTAAAAGCTAAAGCAAGTTTTTTCTGCTTCAGTCAAATAATTTGTCAAATCTTGAGTGTCTACTACTGTAACAATACATTTGTACTAGTAAATGAACCATGATGTAATCTATGGATGTGTTTTTTCTCCAATTTTACTTGGGATCATCGATCATCATCACTTATATGTATATACAGTTGACAAAATTCAACATCAAGTGTACTGAAAGTGGAAGAACTGAAGATGTACTTTCCTATTTTCATTTCATCATTACAAAAACATCAATACATTAATGCTAGTTTCCCTTTCACCCTACATGCACTTCCCAAATTTACACCTCTCTGTGTTTATCACCATCAAACGCACTCATTTGTAAAAGTAAGTAACACACTCACTAATGGGTTAGCATTGTAGACAGCAGTCAGGGGTCACAAACTCTATTGTTTATACTACAAGGCAGTGCTTTTAGAGCCATCTGTTACAAACCAAAACATTTCTGTCACAACAAGAGACAAAAGTTAACTGTGTTTCATCACATGCACCTATTTGTGTAGCTTAGAATTAAACAAGTCAGCCAACTGACAGAGGTCTGTCTGACTTAGTCCTTGAAAATGATTTAGTAAATTGGTCCTCCATAATCTATCTGGGACAAATCTCTTTGCATACAATTTGTATTAAATCTTGCATATAACATTCAAGACGTATCACATCGGCTGATAATACACAAGTTCCTACAACTGGAGCCAGGGGTCTGAAAATATTCTGACCAAAAATTATGTTCAGATGAGAGCTCAATTTATGCCAAACTATCACATACCCTGAAATGCCTGATTAATTGTATTTACATGATGTACAACTGCAAGCCGGTCTCAATAACTTGTAATCAATGATACCAAAACATGTACTAATAAAAATTAGCTTTGTACATTTCTGATTTATGTAAATATTTCTACACACCGGATTAACAATGTATTCATTTCCATTCCAACCCCCCCCCCCCAAACTGCTACTTGTCAAATAATTGTAACGTTACATGTACATTGTAAAGTCATCACATGACCGTTCGTTTACTAACCCAAAGTCATCATCAGCTCTACTCAATGGTCGGACGTCATCGCATATGATGCCCCCATGACGTTACATACACTCCAGATTGATACCTCAGATGTGGCGTAATATTTACCAACTTAAAACGGATAAAAAAATCTCCAACCTTAATTCATTTCCGCAAATCAGAACGCAACGTAACTGCAAATGATTTTCGTTGAGCGGATTTTCTGGAGGATACCACGTATCTATATCTCTGTTTCTGATTTGTGTGCGAGCATCCCAGGCTTCAGAATGTTTCTACGTGTTTTTAGACGACGAAATCAAAGGAATAAAAGGTTGAGTGATAAACTAGAGGTGAGGTATCTGGCTGGAAAGGGTCAGAAAAAGATGTGGGAAGGGAAACCTGGGGGAAATTTGGGTGGGATGTCAGACGACGTAGGATTTTTTCACTGGCAAAAATGGGTTTTATCGATATACATAGGTCTTGTACGGTATTTAACACATTCTAGAAAACAAGAATATTCTGAAGTCATCAGGAGTGAAAATACTTACATTTTGTGGCTGGTTTGGAGACGAAATTCAGCGAAAAAATCAGCAAAATCACCTCAGAAACACAGATCTCTTGCTGAAAGAAATGACGTCATTCACATCCGGGAACTTGAGCGGATAAATCCCAGCAGCCTCTGCGTCAGGGCCCCATACACTCGTAATAAATATACCTGATGATGTATTCAACAGGCAAATTTTAGTCTCCTCAACGCGGATGTCTTTATAACGATACATTTCGCATTTGAAAGTGATGTTGCCAAGCTAAGCCTTTTTATGACAAAAAAATGCATTTTTGTTTGAAAAGGCAGGGGACAAAATGAAGGTCCGACATTTGACACATTTCACCCCATACTTGCTATATAAGTCGTGTGTACAGAGCTACAAGTACTAACATTTTTATTCACATGATCTATTTGTGCTCTAAGGGGCAATTTGTGCTCTAAGGGGTAACATTTTTTCGTATCAATATATATATATTTCAAAAAGAACGTTCAAAATAATTTCGTTTAAAGAATGTTATTAAAGATGATATGCGGGTATAGCGTTATCATCATAATTCATCCTTGTTTGTTACCATTCAGTATTTCACTTAACCTAAACCATTTTTCCACATGTTTTATCACCATATTCATTTTCCATTAATGTTTATGATTATTATAGATCAGGTCTATCGCAGTTTAAGTCATTCCATTAAATAATTCCATCATAATTTTCTCTTTGGTATTTCTTGCTGTTTCAAATATTGACATTAACGCTGATGTTCATAGGTTTGGAAAAGTCAAAGACTAGATTAGATTTATATAGAAAAGTCCTAACAGTTACTTAGATTCCTATTCCAAACTGTTTGTCAATTATAATTGCCGTTCACCACCCCCGTCCTTGGTGCTGTCCTTGGTGCTGACCGCCATCCATTGACTGAAGACCATGCAGTAGCGACCTCTAGCAAGCATTATCTGAACTGCAGGCCAACAAATTTGGAGCTGCTGGCCAATCTACCTCCTTTTCGGCGGCCAGCCCCTTATATACTTATATAATTTTCCCACTTACATAAATATTAAGATATAAGAAACCGGTCTATGGGTTCACTGAGTGGTCTTCTTCGGCAGTTCTAGGCTGGGCATTTATCTCCTATTCGAAGGTTTTCTACTTTCGTCAATCACACTATTTCGGACAAGAAAAATAGTTGCTAACCTTTCAATGTAACTATAGGCTTGATAATCTATTGGAAAGGAGGTAGCAAGGTAAAAAAAGTCAGCGTACACATCCGTTTAGAACAGTGATATCTCACTTTATTTGTAACCGTAACATTTATTACAAACCATCATAATAGTAGGACTCCTGTATCAAAAGTTTACTACAAATCTCTTTCCAAAGCACCCTCAATTCCACACATCAAAATGTAAGAAAATCATTCAAACAAGTTGATCAGGAGCTAGTTGGATTGCAGATAAATTTTCACCTGTTTTTTCCAACACAACTTCATTCTTATGACCTGTACATGTACATGTATTCCTACCATCAGCTTTTCGAGTCCAAGTAAGATAATGATAGTTGCACATTACAATATTCCAGTATACAATATATGTACAACATACTCTTGTGACTTAACGTTATTATTTGAATATATACAAAAGGTGACATCGAATTCCCCTGTAGGTACCTCCTTCAAAAGTACATTACACATTAAGAGAAGGTGGACTATAGAAAACAGCAAGTTGTGTTTAAATGTTGACATTTAGAATGGCAAAATATATATTTCTGATGAAAGGTCTCTGAATTTCTTCAAAAATATACAATCTAATCTATGGATCCTACATGTATGTCCTAACTTTGTTCACTACTTGTTCAATGATCACTAAAAGACTAGAAATGATTGTCACTTTAAAAAAAATTACACTGGCCACATTAATCCGGAAAGACACTGGCAATGTGAAAAATCAAATTCACTCCATGCTTTGCATTCAAGAATTTCACATGGCAAATAAAAAAGCATGTTTCCCCTCTATATGATATCACATTTTCTTCCTTAACTTTAAAAGTTAAAGGGACATTGCAAATTTCTCTCAGTTCCCAGGTCTTTCCGACTTAGCAGAGCTAATGGCAAATGTTTCCTAAATAAGGATTTTCCTTATAAGAAGTGACAAACAACATCCTATCTTAGTAAGTTACCAAGCTCTGCAGAGCTACATCACAGCATAATTTGAAGGTCCCTTTTTAACAAGATATTTGGAGAATGTTCCCCTTAAAAGACTGACTAAACAGTTTGATAAACAAAGATATGTAACCAGATACATGTAATTTTATCCTTTCATTTCTCTGTATTTCTAACCTGCAATATTCAATACAGATTGGTTTTGCCTGAAGTAAGTTGACAGTTCTTACATTACATAAAAAACTATCAGCTTTGGCTGAGAAGGACTACAAGTTAAGCAACATGACTGTACCACACTTGTACTACTGAGAAACACTGTGTGTATCCATCATCTAAATGATGTGATTTTCAGAAGAAATGATATATATCTTAACAATTAGAATGCAAACATTTTGGTCTGTTCTTCAACCTCATTCTTTTACATATGTCAACTGAAATACAACTTTGTCAAATACTGCAGCGTGGGATATTATGGTTTGGTGTACACAAATACATAATCCAAATAGGACACTGAATAGGAAACCACAGGAAAAGTACAATCATTAAAACCTATGAGATTACACAATCTCATGGTACTTATGACAAATATTTTTGCCTTGTTGGAAAACAAGGCTTGTCAATCAAAACTTAGTACTTCCAACTTTTAAATGGTTTTTATATCCAATTTAAATTTTTGAAAGAAAAAAATGAAGACTTCTGTGTGATGAACACATGAACTAGAGAAGTGAACATGTAACTGGAGGCGACTTTGCAAATCACAGAAAACATTGCACAAACTGATACACTAGCCACATGACAGTGACGTTCACAAATGAATTTTTTTCTATTTTCAGATGTTTTCTCCTTTTTTTTCGCCTTTCAAAAATTTTTGTCTGTTGGAATTATAGCATTTGAATATTCGTCCATTTCATTGAAATATACAAGAGTCTGCTTTCTGTGTGCATAACCTCTGCAAGATTATGCTACACAATTCATACAATCCAGACTTTTCTCCCAAACATCATATACCCTCATCTTTGACTTATTTGGATCTACAATACTTAATATTAATAATCTTTATGGTATTCACATCTCTGACATCCATAAGCTTTTTTTTATCTTACAAAATAGACTCTTTAGAAAACGAAGAGTGGCCTGCACATGAAAAATGCCTACATATTAAGCAGAGCTCGAAATACCACCTCCAAATACCACCTACAAACCCGGTAGGCAGGTATTTCTGGTGTCTACCTGCCTACCAGTACAAATACAAATGTAGGCGTGTATGTGGATTTTTTATTAGCTGCATTGACTGTTATCACCTATGAAGTATGAAAGAAATTATGGCAATGGTTTCTGTACAGTTTTTTTAGTATACTTCATACTTCCTAAATTCTGAATTGTGCAGGTAAAATTTGTCTGGTGTAGGTAATTTTTAATACCCTCTGATGTATCCAGAAAAAGGTATTTCGAGCCCTGTTGAGCCACATAGTCTCCACCGGGATATTTACACCAAGATGCCCCTTTACTTCCTCCAGCCCCTAAAAGTCTTTTGCCTTTCTCAACACCAAAACGTGTCAAGGTTTGTCCTGTAGTCTGCCTTCAAGTCATCACTACCCACTGAGAGAAGTGTAAAAGCCAAATGTCTATCATTTCACTTTAAGTCATTATCAATACAAACTACACTGTGTACACTACACAATGCCAACAAGGCACTAACAGTTTTGTTGTACGTAAAAAAGAGTTTGTTCTTTTTTTAATAGACTTTCTGTCAAATAGTCGTCTGTCATGCCATTTCTTCGATCCTGTCCGTAGAGAAACAAGTCAAGCAAATACATGGTTTTCTGAACTAAAGTTGGTGCAATTCAGTCTTTCTGGCGGGAGCAGATATTCAAATATTTTCTTTGTTCTTTGACCACCTAGAGTTTGAATTGTAAACATTAATGTCTTGTATGTACTTTTAACCTCCTCTCTGCTGAGGTAACCTTTACACACCAACTTTCCAATGGTAACAGAGCTAGGCAGCAGGGAGAAGGTTAAGAACATGTGTTTTCAAGAACTGCTTGGCATGAATGTTTGGCTACAGCTTGTAACCATTTAATTTAGGGCAGATATTACTACAGGGGTGATCAACTTTCTCTTGGCATGGGGGTACAAGGGACACCTTGTCATTCCTACAGCTGAGAAGGTCATCATCATCATCACTCCCCATCTCTCACACTACTACAAGTCACTGCTGGAGTTACTTGTGGTTGGGCTGGAATGTCTCTTCGGTGGTAACCTCTTCTCCACTGGGTACTCGTCGCTGTCTTTGCTGTTGTTGCTCTGCGACTTGTCGTCCGACTCCTTGATGGAGCTGGAGCTGCGCGATGACCTCCCGTTGCTGACGTTGCTGTTGTCCCCCCAGTTGTCGCTGTCCTTGGCCGTGCTCCGGCCGATGTCCCCCGGCAGGTTGGCCATCTCAGTCTCCGACTTCTGTGAGCTGCCCGACGACGAGGGAAGGTTGGACTCCAGGACGGACTCCATGGTCGGGGAGATGACGGTCTGTACGGAGAGGTGTTTCCTGCTCGGCATTCTCTTCCGCTTCTTGGACAGACACTTGTCAATGGCCTCGTCACAAGCCTGTAGTAAACACAAGTTTCATTTTTTTATGTTAAACTATCAAACTTTACTGAAAAAGACATCATTCTCTTCCGCTTCTTGGACAGACACTTGTCAATGGCCTCATCACAAGCCTGTTGTAAACACAAGTTTTGTATTTGTATATTCATTGGAACTGAAACAAGACATACATGTGAGGCACAGACAGCTGTTGCAGGTGTCATGACCCACACCTCAAACATGTTTGCCATTTTTATAACAAACTTTCCAGCTTTACTGAGCAATATGCCTTGTATATCTTCATTGCCCAACTCAACTAGGCTCCCCAGTAAGCAGGAGTTCAATCAGTACTCACAGCATGTCAAGTTTTAAAGAACCCTCAAAGACAGCGATTCGTTTGTGAACACTCGAAGTGTTGTTCGAAACAGAATCTTGAGTTATCCCGTTCACGCAAGAAAACAAACATAAAAGGTCCACTGCAGTGATGTACGGTGACCTAACGTCAGGTAGAATAAAGATGAGTACTCACAGCGATGTCAGGCATCTTCATTTTGCCCCAGCACAGTTTGACATCCTCCAGCTCGCCCATCTGCTCTGCGGAGAAGGCCGGCTGGTTCCTCTCCATGGACCGCAGCTTGTCCTGGTCCTGCTTCAGGACATCGTCTATCTCTCTGTGGGAACACATTCAACATTGGCTGTTAGTACACCACCACAAAATACTAATCTAAACAAGCATGGCTGAAAGTTTTAAAACACACTCATACAGTGCAATACTTTGGCACCTCCACACCCTGAATAGTACTAAGCAATGATGGTTGGGGAATGATTCACCTTTCATTTACCTTTTAAAGAAATAGCTTAAGAACTGAAGAAAATTTTGCATGGTCCTAATGTTACATAATTTTTTCAAAACGGCCTCAGTACAAAATTGGACATTCAAAAAAAGGACTTCTTCAGTGTACATTGTACATCTAATTTCTACATGTACCTAAGGACTGCCACTCAGGATTCATGCTGAAATGTCACTAAGGGTTAAAGTTGAAATTATGAGTGTTTCTGACCTTCTGGGCAGCTGGTACGTCATCATGACTTTCTGAGTTGTGTTGGCCATCACACGCCAGATCGGATCCTGGAAGACAAGAGCACCAACAACTTAATTTTACCCAAAGACACAATACCCATACGTTGTATTATATTGTGCATGTTCAGCTACTGTCCTTCACGAATAACTTGGTGCAATGTAAGACTATTTGTGCTTCATTTTGAGTCATGTAATATAAGTCTCTCATAATGGAATCTAAGAAAGGAGCATCACAATATCTTTGCTGGAGTTAATTCATAACTGTTCTGAGCATTAGTGTAAGAAAATAAGAACTGCTCAAGCTCTATAGAAAGTAGTTAAATGTGCACCTAATATCACACTCTTATACAAAAATTGTACATTGTATCTGACAGCTTACCTGCAGCACATATCTCTTGAAGTTCTCTCTTTCTCTACTCTCCATCTTTCTCTTCTGCTCCTGTGTGTTGGAGCCTTCTGAAGAGGTGAAGCTTGGGTCTGATCCCAGGTCAGGTGTGCTGCTGTTCCCGTCATTAGACTCTGCCAACAGCAAGTCCAGCATCGAGCTCGTGTCCAAGCTGTTGTCGTCCTCCTTGTCCTTGACCTGCGCAGTCTTACAGACCTTCTTGACAGGTGCGAGCCCCTCCTGGTCTGTCTGGAGTTTGCGGTGGGGAGACTGGTGACACGTGCTGCCGGCCTGCGCTGCGGTCTGGCGACTGCCGCCCTCCTGTAGTTCCTGCTGCATCAGGTTGAGCTGCAGGGGGCTGCTGCACTGCGAGCCCACCCGCTCGGATATCCCTGTCGTCGGGGCGGGAGGGGGGACGGATGTCGTGGTAGGGTCTGCCGACGTGCTGCACGCCGCGACCACGGGAGTTGGGTTCAGGCACTGCGCCGACACGTGGGACAGCGGGGCCTCCATCTGGACTGTCGGGCTGAGTGTTCCCGGGTCGGTGTTGATGTGTAGAGGCTGCATGCCGCCGCCTTGGTGGAACAGCGGCCGCTGGGGGACCTGCGTCCAGATGCTGCTGCCCTGCGGGATCTGCATGGAAGGCGTGGTCGGCACGGTGAAACCCCCCGCCGAGGAGAAGCCATAGTGGGGGAAGAAGCCTGAGTACATGAAATTCTGAGCCATGGGCATCATGGGGACAGATCCCATCATAGGCTGGCCTGTGGGGGGCATCCCTCCCTGCATGAACTGGGGGACGGGCATGCCGAAAGGCATCCCAAACATGCTCAAGTTCATGCCCATCTGGTTGGGGAACACAGGGACCTGCATCTGTCCCATGGGCATGCTCTGGTTCTGGCTGGGGTTGTGGATGGGGACGAACATGTTCTGCGCGGTCTGAGCGTCCACGAGCGTGGTCTGTGGGGCGATGGAGGAGGAGTTGCTCATGCTGGTGCGGTGGCGGGGGATCCCGTTGCTGATCTGGCAGTGCTTGCTGAGCTTGTTGGTGACGGTCTCGTTCTCCGGGGTGAGGAGCTGGCGCTTGTGTCCGTGGCGGCGCTGGAAGTGGGGCAGCAGGAGGTGGTTGTAGCCCTCCTTCAGCGCCTGCTCCACGTACGTCCGCTCCTGGTTGATGGTGTGCTGGCTGAGGATCTCCTGCGTCAGACCCACCTTCTGGTAGGAGGAGGCGGGAGGTAGGGGCTCGCCTACCTCCGAGTTGGTCTCGTTCTTGTCGCTGAAGTCGTCGACGATGGGTATGTCCTCGCTGTGTGCGGGGTCCAGAGGGACGTGGGAGTCCTGTGACATGGGGGCCATCGTCATCACCGTGCTGCCTGTGGTGACAGCCACGGGTCTCGTCGATGTCTCGATGGTGGTGATAACACCTGTGGAGAAAATGAGATAATTTTACGATTTCATACTGAAATTTGATACTTTTGATCAATACGGCAAAGATAACTCACCTCAAAGGTTTGGATATGAATCGTAATTGCCTGGCAAGCAAAATCGGCCCCTGTCCCTGTTGCGTCACAGTGACACAGTCAGCTGGTGGGCTCTTTGTCATTAAAATTTATTTATTGATTAAACAAACAAACCTGTCTGAGAAGGCAGTCCCTCGTCAGGCAAGAGGTTGGAAGCCTCAGCTCCCCGCGGTAGCTCGGCGGCCTGCACGGCGTCCATGGCTGTGGTCAGGTCCTGCTCCTGCTGCTGATCCTCCTCCATGGACGAGTTGGAGAACACGTCAGGGCAGCTCAGCAGGTATCTGGGGGAAATATACAAGTTACAAATTTTAAGTAGTTTCATTTTATTTCATTTTTATCTATCTATACAGGGTTAGCATGTCGCCATGTTGGCACTTTTCAGAGCTCCCTGTGACATACATAACATAATAAAGGTAGTAAAAAGTAGTAAAAAAAACCTCAAGAATACTGACAATTAGAAAACTGAAAAACCAAGATGACTGACAATCAGAAACTAAAAAACTGATAATACTAACAGTCAGAATGCTAAAAAAAAAGAAGAAAACTGACAATCAGTCTCAATGCTAAAAAAAAAAATCAACAAGAAGACTAAGCCAATCAGGTTCCCTTCCTCCCTTCCCGTGTCTTTTATATGTTCGTAATTGTACCCTACTAAAATACAGTTGAAACATAGAAACAAACAATACCTGTGGATGTTTTGAGCGTAGTTGAGCTGTTCATAGTTGGGTAGAGCAGCTGGCTGACTCGGGGAGTACACATTGGACGACGAAGACGTTCCCTTGGCATCTTCCGCCTCCTTCCCCGGCTTGTCGGCCATCTTCTTCACCTTCTCGGCAAAGATCTGCTGCCCGCGTGCCTTCAGGATGTGCATGTCCATGCATTTTTCCTGTAACAGAGAAAGACCTTCTACTACCTTCTAGGAAGGGCAGACATAACATTCAATTTACATGTAACACAGTATGATACAATGTTTGAAAAAAAGGAAATTACAGAGCAATGAAGAACTGCCAATGGGGGTAGTGGCATTGTGAGCACAGAATATTCTTTGTCTACCACAATTCATCCCTACCTGATTTTTAATACGACAGATTTGAAGCTACTTTGATGTCTTTGAACCACCCACATCAGAATACTGGGCACATATGGCCTTTGTGCACAAAACATTGGAACTGTGCGCCTAATTTTTGACTGCGGGTACGCTGCTGCACCTCGAAATTTGTGTACAATAAGTTAGTACCTCGTAATATATACAGCATAATAATTATTATTGATGTTTAAGTTTCTTTAAAAACAAGAAAACCTCTGCATTACTTGTGATAATGTTGAACCATAGATGAATAGAAATTTCATTTTCATCTCAAGCACTGAAGCTCTCATTGTCCATAATACCCATAATCCAATGGTGGAACTTATGCAAATGAGTCAACCTTTGTTCTCATTATGATCATTTGTTGTTATGTTATGATATTTGATATCAGGGTTTTCCCCCCAGAAATTGTGGAAAACTGTTAGTAGGTGACATGCATATCCTGGCAAAATAGATAAACTGAAATTGAAACCTTTTGTGTAATCCAATTTCAAACTACACCAGCAAATAACCTTTACAATGTGGCTGTTTTGCAAGAAAAAGAAGCGGCTTGAGTATCATTTTACAACTGACAGGGGCCTCTAAGTGTAAATGAAAGCACTCTAAGGCTTTCTACTGCACCTGTTTCTGAATCCCTTTCCATCTTTGTTCAATGTAGGTTCAAGGTTAGGGATAGGGCTCTGCAAAGCCTTATGTAAGAGGAACAATATACAATTTGATTATACTGTTGAAGGTACAAACATGTAAGCCATATACTGAACAAATAGATGGCTATAACTGGATACTAGCCCAATTAAGAGCTTACATCCCAGACAAGAAATATCCATCGCTCTTCCACTGAGGATGAAAATTCACTGATCTAATAATAAATACACTTGCATGTACATTTGTACCTCCTGTGTCTTGAATATAGGAGCTACCACAATGACTGTATCAATTAGAGGGGGGTGTCAGGTGGTATGCAGCTTGACTAACTTGAGAACAAAGCTCTCTGCACCCGATTGATTAGCTCCCTAGGGAGAGGGGTGCAATAATTAGTCCCAGTGCAGCGAGAGGTTGTGTAACAAAGGCTAAGTCAGATTGCAAAATAAGGATGGCAATTCTGCTTTAAGTATGATATAAAAAATTTGTCTTAAAGTTTCCACAAATATGATCTAAGATAACAAGCTAGTTTTTTTTATGACAAGGTGAGTACTACAGTGTGACACACGAAGGGGCGAGTACTACAATCCCCATGACTCCCAGGATTCAAACTCGCGCTAAACCCGGGCCGCCAGCTCAGAAACCCAATGTACTAACCACAAAGCTAAAAGATCCAGACCATTCAGACTGAACAGTTACTGGCCCTTGAACAACACTGTTACACTAATCCCCCTTTTCTTTTCTAGATCTGCCCTTGAATCTCTGTGAGTTTAATATCCCTGTGTGGCACATCTTGCCACCACTCACATGGCCGGCATGGGAACCACTGAAACACAAAGCACTGAAACATGTGATAATTACCTGGACATCCACATCCTCTGCAAACTGGTCTGGGTTCTCCACAGGTGAGACCAGATGGTGATCAGGTGTGGCAAGTTGTGGGATTGTCGTCTGGAATAGAAAAAAATAAACCAAAAATAGAGTTAAGAATGCACATTGCTGTACTATGTGACCATCGCAAATCAACATTGCATTCAACAATGTGGCCCTAGGACTAGTTAAGTCATCAACCTCAGATGTACAGTCATAGATTTTGTGTAAGATGTCATTACAACAACGACCTTAATCCACCAAAAATGACACGTCAAGATTTTCTTTTAATTCTTGTTGGAAATAGTTGGAAACAGTCGGGATTCAAACTCCCAACCTCTTGGACACCGACAATGCAAGCAGAGAAAATCCACCGTCATCCTCACCTGAAGTAAGAGTTTACAGATGGCCTGTTCCATAGCTGTGATATCCTTCCTTATCTCTGTATGGCCGATCCACGCTTTGATGGGGTTTCTGAACACGTCTATCTCTTGTGGACCTCTGTAACAAACAACAACAAAACATCATTCACCACTCTGTAAATAGTTTTATCAGGTTAGTCACTGAATAAAAAGTGTTTAATTTGGCCGACATTTTGGTGACTGTCTGTCACCTTCCTCAGGGATATTCTGTGCTCAAATACCTGCACAGCTCCAATCATACCTGCACTAAGCTGCATGTGCAAGTTGTATTTCAAGCCTTAAAAAATAATCTAAAGGAGCATGAAAAATTTAGCCACAACGACCAGGAGGTCACTAGTACAAGTTCCAGACTGAAACTTTTAAATAACCATTATAATTACAGAGAAATGTTTTGATTTTAATTTATTTCTGTGCTTCGCAGGTGGCAACTTATCAAGTAGTTGAACATCAAAACAACATTGTACATGAATAGTCTGTGAACGATGCCATAAATAATTTCTGAAATTAATACACACAAATGTAATAATTTGCCTCTAGGTGTCTAGACCTCCAGTGAATTGTTTGTTGTTCATCGTCATTAATTGCAAAACATTTACCAAAACAACAAGCTACCTGTTTGAAACAACAATGTACCTTGTGACTCGGTGTTGTCCAATGACAAAGTCGATCTTCCGAGTCCACGGGTTGATGAAACTTGACCAGCTGGTTTCTATGGTGACCTCATTGCCGTTGCGCACCAAGAGGCGGATCGGGCCCTCGTTGAACGTCTGTCCCATAGGTGTTTTCACAACTGTGAACGGTAAAAGGACATTATGTCATGACATTATGTCATTACATTCGATGCGGGTGTTCCGGCCTGTGTGATAACTAGCGGTACGGCCCGGCCCAAGTTTAATTTTGTTCAAATATTTCTCACTTCATGTCTTGTCAATACACTACCTGAAAACTGTTTCTGTAAAACTTGTCTAGTGTCTGTCTCTGACCTCTTCCCTCATGACCTCAATGAAAAGTGGCCTGCAGGCCGATTTGATCTTTCATGAATAAAGAATAGTTCGAACAAAACAGTTACATATCCCATCCCTCATATCATCTTTCTACTTCTTATTCTATGAGTAGGAATTTAATTTCAGAAAGTAATATAGCTTCAATTTCATCAAATGTAATGATTTCATACATCACAATTTGTCATCTACACACCCATGCACCCACCCACATATGCAAATTAAATGGGAAGTGACTAAGAAGTTTCCCTGTTTTCTACCTTTACATCATGATTTGTCATCTTTTGTCTCCAAGTTAAACATTAATACACCCCTGCACCCACCCACATAATTATTTCAATGGCACACAGGTACATGTAAATGCAAATGAAATGGGAACTGATTAAGAAGTTTGCCTGTTTTTCTACCTTTACATCATAATTTATCATCTCCTGTCTCCAAGTTAAACATTTACCGGTATACACCCCTGCATCCACCCACATCTATCTATCTCCTTAATAGCATTCAATCATGACATTGTGAATGCAAAATGAAAAAGGAAATGAAGAAGTTACATGATTGTAGTCTGTTTTTCTACTTTTAGTAGTTTTACATCATAATTTGTCATCTGTTGTCTCCAAGTTAAACATCTATACACCCCTGCGCTCACCCACATCTATTGTCCTAATGGCATACAATCAGTCAATGTAAATCTAAATGTTAATGACATACTGATTCAGAAGAAGTTTGCCTGTTATTCTACCTTAAAGTTTTCATTGCAATTTGTCGTCGGTTGTCTTCTCATCAATCATTTAATACACCCACCCACATCTCAATTGTTTTAATGGCATATGTGTAAATGCAAATGACATAGGAACTGAAAAGAGTTGCCTGTTTTTATCACAATTTGTCATCAGAAGTTTTCCCCATTAAACATTTAACACACCCACAAACTCCACTCTTGTATCAATTGCGTACTCACTCATTCCATAATTGCATACTCTGACTCACTCACTCACTCAATTGCTAACATGTAAAAAAAGAAAAAGAAACATGAAATGGAAACTGAAGAAGTTTGAGTTTTGTTTACCTTTTTCGTGTACACTCAACATGATAGGGGCATCATCTTGATTGATGAAGTCAAAAATGCATCGACCAATCAGATCTTGAGGAAGATACCCCGTCAGAGGAACAGCTCTGCATAGACAAAATCACCAGGGCACATATAATAAACTAT